AATTGTGGTTTTCTGTGAATTAAAAGAGAAATTAATCTCACTCAGATCCAATCTGACCAGGGAAGACCCAGAAGTGAAAGATGTGTTGTTTGAGCTACATTACTCCCTCTGAATACTCTCATTTGTGGTAGAGAGGGAGTTTTGTATGAAAAGGGGCACTAAAGAGACTTTGAGTAGAAAAAGAGAAAGAGAACTGTGTGATAAAGGCAAAAAGTAGGTGTTAATGGCAATTAAATTAATTTACTTGTGTAATATGTCAAATGTTCTGTGGACATAAAATAGTTGGGTTTCCTCTTACCTCAAATAATCAGAAAGCTCAGCTTAGGTTTGTCCGAGCTGTGAACAATACCAGAGAACAAGTTCTCATTTCATAAATGTAAATATTCTCAAGAAGTTATTCAAAATTCTTCATACAGTGATCAGCTTTGTTGGCATTATCTCAGAAATTATCAAGGGGAAAAAAAAAATCCTAAGATGAGAGACAGGAGTTTCAGAGAGCTCTGCTATCATGATAATGGATGTACACGATACTGAGGGAGGATATTGAGTCCTGTTCCAGCTGTTTAGACAAGACACCAAAATAAATGGATATAATAAACTGTCATGCACTGGAGAACCAGACAGTTACTAATTGATGAGGAGAGGGAGAAGCATTTCATATAAATCAGGAGTGCCTAGGATCAGGATTTGGGCAGTAACTGCTTGTTGGGCATGGAGAGTTTGCCCCTTGCATAGCACCAGGTTGTACATCCAGCTTCCATCACTCATCTGGTGAGAAGCAAACCACTAATGCCCCTCTCCTTTGACCCAGTGCAGCTAAGCAGAACATCCAGCATTTCAAACAGGCTTGGATTAGCAATGGTATTTATTCCATGGATACTTCAGAGGATGTAATGATCTCTCCTGCACGCTGAGAATGAAAAGGGACCACATTCTGGCACTGAGCTGTTTATGGAAGGTGATTATCTCAGCTGCAGAAATAAGAAACAAGAGTCCCTTTAGACAGGCTTTTCAGAGGAGCCCAGCCCAGATTGCTGTTATGTTCATTCTTTCCACGTCTCCCTTTTCTTTTTTGGCAACCCTGTGTTTGTGGGAACAAAAATGCCAAAATCATTTGAGGAGAAGCAGATTTTGCAGCCTGGATGGCTTGGAAATCTCCCATACATAAGGAAGTGGATCTATCATCTTAAAAGATATTCAGCCTACATCTGAGGACTCAAAAACCAGGGATAAGATACTTTCTCATGTGACTCATTGAATATTGCTGAACTTGTGCCACAAGTTTTCCAGTAAATCTGGTCCTCCTGCCACCTCATCACAGGGTGTTTGGGATCCTCACTAGTTGCTGGTGGTCCATCCCTCCACTGCCAGTGCCTTAAAGCACGTGGAGAGAGGAAATCTGCTTTTGTCGTTCTTTCTGCTCTCACTGGAAACTTCTGCTCATACTCTAAGGCAGAGTAATCTACTCATACTCTGCTCAGACCCAAAGAATCTCCAGAGTGGGTTGCCTTGTTCAGTATGTGAAAGTAAACTACTGAATTCCTGAGTCCTTTGACGTTATCCAATACTTTGTGCCATGATAAAATCCCATCTCTTTCAATGATCCCTTTCTTCCTTCAGCTTTTTGGTCCCACAAATTTTGCTCAGCATTGAATTAATTTATCAATACGCGTGCCAGACCAAATATTCACTGCAACCCTGTCCAAATTTTTTTTTGTTTGTTTTGTTTGTAATGCCTTGATTATGTTAATGCAATGGATTTGACTTCACTGGAGTTTAACCAGCTGCTATCTGAAAAGCTGAAACTCAGAAAGAACATGTTTATTGTAGTATGGGGCTGTGGGTTTGGATTGTTGTAGATTCATTGTCTTCAGTGGAATTTATTCCTCTTTGAGCTCCTAGAAGTGAAAACAGGGCACAGCCGTTAGACCCTGATTCATCTCTGGTGCCAGCTGTTACCTTTGATGTCTGCTTTATGTGGAGAAGCTGTTGAGATGCAGGGTTTTTTATGGAGATTTTAGCACACTAAGGCTCTTAATAGAGAAAGTAACAAAGAAAATATCTCTACAACTCTATAACCTACGGTTCCCAACGTAAATATAAGCCCTGCGCATCTGAAGTTACATTTCTTATCATTGCCAAGGTTGGATTTAAGGTGTTGGAAAATGTAGGTTGGAAGAGATTGCATGTTCTAACCCCATGGCTGCTATGCATGCATCCAACTATGGCTTCAGACCCAGCTCTTTGTAAAAATATCACCTTTAGTATAAAAAATAATGGGCTGAGAAATGGGAATTTCTTAACTATTATCAGATCAGGGACCTGCAAGAGAGCTTTGGGGACTTTTTATGTCACATGTTGTGACAGGACAAAGCAGAACGGCTTTGAATTGACAGAGAGCAGGATTAGATGGGATATTGGGAAGGAATTGTTCCCTGGGAGGGTGGGGAGGGCTGGCACAGGGTGCCCAGAGAAGCTGTGTCTGCCCCTGGATCCCTGGCAGTGTCCAAGGCTCAGTGGGGCTTGGAGCAGCCTGGGGCAGTGGAAGATGTCCCTGCCCATGGCAGGGGGTGGGATGAGATGATTTTTAAGATGAAAACAAACCATTGTGTGATTCTGTGATCCTTGTGTTTCTCACCTGGTGTCTCCCTCCCTGCCCCCCCTTCCCAGATTCCCCCTCCCTCTCTTGGCATCACCTGGCACCATCCTCAGCCTGTCTGGAATCCACATCAGGGCTGGGATTCTACCAAATTTCAGGAGTAAATTCTACCAAATTTCAGCCCTCCAGCCATGAGCCCCTTGGTGACAGATGGAGTCAGACCCACGAGCTGCCAAGTCTCTCCCTTTCTCTGATCAGAGATGTGTTCCTGGCCTGGCAGCCACGAGCACAATCCGCCCTGTCCTGTCCCTGGGGGCTCTTCTCCTTCAGTCTGGCACCTCCTGTCACAGATCCCGCGTGGTGCCTCAGCAGCAGCCCTGACAAACCTGCCCTGGCTGCTCAGAGCCACCCCTGGCTGCTGGCAGAGCCACACCCCAAATTGGGATGCAAGGTCCCTCCGGCACAGGATTTCACACCTGTCGCCTCCCACCTTCAAATCCTCCAAAATTCCTGTCACAACAGGTTGCTGCTTATCTCCCCTTACATCCAAATGGGCTCGTGCCCAGAAACAGAGGGAGAAAATGGCACTTTTAAAAGCAGACGTGTATATTCTGTCACTTGGATTTAAGATGTTTTTCATCTTCTGAAATATTTTCATCTTATTTGAATATTCTTGCTGAAAAACAGGTCTTTGGATACAAATGTGCAGGGAGCTGGAAGCTCAGGGTGGATGGGGTCTGCTGTCTCCTGTGTAGACATGAGGCTGCTTTCAGGTTCTGTCTCTGACAGGGCAGGAGGCTCGTGGGCACAGGTGGAGATCAGAAGCCAGGGTCAGGTTTCTGTGCAGTGAGGTGCCTCCTGCCTCCTGCTGTGTGTGCAGCCAGGAGAATGTAAGAATTTGCTTTTCTTTTCACCTTTTTAACACATACTTGACTGCACAAACTCAGTGTTTGCTAATTGGTGGCATAGGGTGAAACGAATCCTGCAGCAGGTTATGCAGCTAACATTTACTAATGTCTATTAGAGATAAATGAAGAAATATGAATATTGCTAAAGTAAATGTGAAAAAATAAATATCAAAGCTCTTTGCTGACTTCGTTGAGTTCAGAGTTTGGTGCATTCTATGAAAGAACAAATAGTCTTTCCAGTTACTCATAGAGAACACAGAATCCTAGAATGGTTTGGGTTGGAAGAGACCTTAAAGCTCATCCAGTCCCACCCCCTGCCATGGCAGGGACCCCTTCCACTATCCCAGCTTGTTCCAAGCCCCAGTGTCCAGCCTGGCCTTGAACATTTCGAAGGATCCATGGGCAGCCACAGCTTCCCTGGGCACCCTGTGCCAGGGCCTCAGCACCCTCAAGAGTGAAAAATTTCTTCCTAATATCTAATTTCAATCTCTCCATAGTACATCCTTGCTGTGGAAATGCATCTCGATGCAGCCCTGCACACACACTTCCATCAGCACAGCACAATAGCAGCACCGAACCAGCACTCTTATTTTTACATGCAGCGTGTGAATAGGTGTGGGTGTGTGTTAACATGTTTTGTCAGGAGGGGAAATGTTTCTCCAGAGGCCAGGGATATGTGTTGAACAAAAAAGAATATTAATTTGCTTGGGTGAAAGAAGCAGCATCATTAAAAATGTACAGAGTTGTAAAGATGTGAAGATGCCCTCTGTTCCTGTGGTTTGCTGTGTGAGTCTGTTCTGCAGAACTTGTGGCTTCTGCTTTTTGAATTTTTTTTATTTATGAGGCTGAGGAAATTAGCCTGAAAGACAATTACTATTTTTAATCAATGAAAGCTAGGAGACAAAAAGATAATCAATGGGCAAGTGCCAGCAGGGCTGTTCTTTTTTTCCCCTCCTTGCCTCGGTGGATTGGCAGGGCTTTGGTGCTGTCAGATCAAAGGGTGCTGTGCTTCAGTCAGCATTACAGCCCTTAGATCTCACCTGCCTCTCCCAGGAATCAGGATTTCACTGCTCTGGGACGCTGTGCCAGCCAAGCTCTGTGAGCACAAGGGAGGGCAATCACTCAGGGGTGGGGACAGGTGCGTTTCTGAAAGCTGCTCAGCGAGGTTTGCTTGGTTTTGCTGTCATTTATGTATTTAAAATAGGAAATAGGTTTTCCCAGGTTGTTGACATGCATTCCTTCACTGCTTCCTTGGCTCCAGCTGTCAATTCCTGCAGCATTAACAACGGGGGCTGTGAGCAGGATTGTGTTCAGCTCAGTGAGGACCACTACAAGTGCCAGTGCCAGCCAGGCTACCAGCTGAAGACAGATGCCAAATCCTGTGAAGGTGAGTCCTGTGCTACCTGCCTGAAGACACACAGTAAAGGCAATTTAAAAGACTCCAAGATAGTGTTTTGGGTCACTGTGTTCATTCCTATTTCTCCCTGTATGCCAAAAGCAGCTTTAGGAATGGCTCATTAACAGGATTTTAAAATAGCACGTGTTTGAGGTGTGAAGTTCACTTTGAATCACAACTTTGAACAAGATTTTGGCCTCGTAGATCCCTGGCTGTTCCTTGCACAATGATGGTGATGACATAGGTTAGGAACTTAATCATGATTTAATTCTAACATTTTATTGCTCATCAAGTTGTATATAGAGCTGGCCTGCATTACATGTTTTATTCTACAAAAAGTCTTCTCTTTATCTCCTTTTGGCTTATCACAATCTGATTCATTCTTCCTCCCCTTCAGGTTTCTAAGCACCCTCTCAAGCAGAACAGCAATGCTACCTTTGGGTTTGATTGTTGCTTTTCTTTTCTTGTATATCTTAACATATTCATCAATGTTGAAGGCAACCCCCCCATTCCCCAACACAAGCACACACACCCCCTTGAACATGCCAGAGAAAGATAGGGCCAAATTTATGGATTTATTGAGCTGAAATTCCTGTCACAAAACCTTTTCCATATGGCTCCTCTTCTGCTCAGAGATTTTACAGGCTGTGGATGAAGTGTAAGTAAATCCTGCTGTTCAGATGGCTCCCAGCTCCTGCTGGCTGCAGAGAACTCTTCCCCTTCAGTTTGGGGATCCTGCCCCAGCAGGGGCTGAGCCTCAGGGAGCACCCACAGCCTGGTGGCCTCTGTCCCACGGGGTGGCCACCATTTGTCCCTGAGGTTATCAGGAAGAGCCAGGAAAGGGGAGTTTAGGGAGAAGGAGCTGTCAGACACCTTCTCCATCCTGTTTCCAAGCATCTCGGGGTGTGTTTGGCCAGCTGGCTGTGCAGAGCCTGCACAGGAATTTTGGGTGGGTTTTATGGAGTGGTGGGACAGAGGTTGGGTCAGAGGGGTCTGAGTGTGGCAGTGCCAGGTGGGGTGGGAGCTGTCCTGGAGTGGCCACAGCACAGTTCAAGCTTTCATGGGCCACTTCATGCTCTGTCTCAGCTGGGACCCCTAAAGGGGGAGGTTCTGCCACCACTGTTCACCCCCTCACATGGTGAAGAAGAGAGTTAGCCACTCACAAAGGCAGTGGTTTGTCACCAGCCTGTGATTCCTGAGCACTGGAGAGGGGCAGGGTCAGCCCTGTCTGCATTGCCTGGGTGCCCCCTGGGTGCTCAGGGTGTTTCAATCCAAAGAAATGAGTGCAGCCCTCCCCCAGAAAAGCAGTTGTGCTGGGGGGAAGGAGGATCTGTCTTGTAAGCAGAGCTCAGCTTGTAAAATGAACACTGAGTAGATGCTTTTTCCCCCACAAATACTTTAGTAAATGAATGCCTGGGAGAGAAAAGTGCTAGGTAAGCCCATGGACAAGATTTTTACAGGAACAAATAAGGGTGAAGTGGTCATGAATGCATTTGGATTGTCAGTTCAGAGATATTTTAAGTAGAAGAGGTGGGAGGAGGTGAGTCTGGCTGTTTTTTGTTTTCCAACCAAAGCTTGGCTGCTGGATTGTGGTTTGGGTGGAGAAAGCACAGTGTCATGAGAGTGTTTGCCACAGCAGGTGCAGGTGTTGTGCAGGTGTGGATTCATCCCTGTGGACTCCTTGGGAGTTAATACTGCTCCCACAGCCCTGGAAGCCTTAAAGAAACACTCAAACGTGGCAATTCTGCTCTTTATCCCTTTATATTTTCTCCAGTATGAAGTCATGGTTGCTGTGAACAAGAAAATTAATTTGATAAGGCCCAAATCTCTTTTCTTTAGGTGCTCTAGAGGTCATGGCAGATAGAACTGGAGACCTTGTTGTTTACAGCCTTGCAGTGAAGGATTGGAAGGTCTGCCCCATCCCTGGAAGTGTCCAAGGCCAAGCTGGATGGGGCTTGGAGCAACCTGGAATAATGAAAAGAGTCCTTGCCCATGGCAGAGGGTGGAGATTTAAGGTCCCTTCCAACCCAAACATTCTGGGATTCTGTCCTGAGGCACCTGGGAAATGAAACCATGCCAGTAAATTTTTCACCATAGTGTTTAACAGCTTGGAGTAGAGCTTTGTAGGATGGGGTCTGTTATCTACTAAAGTTATTAAATGAACCAGTAAGAGGCAAATGTGTGAAAAAAAACCCACTAATGAGTTATTTTTGGCTTTTCCTGAAACCTGCTTCTAACAGGAACATACACATCACTGGAAAGCAAGTCAGTCACTGATTGCCTTATGTCCTGAAGATCTTTCTTTTACAAATTTGCCTCATCCAAGGATTTCCAAGGCTGCTACCTTTATTTGAATTACTATGTTTTACTAACATCCACCGTGTAATTTGTTGTTTGCCTGTTGTCATGTCACAGAGCATTACAAGCTTTACTCCGTGCTGTAATCATTCTCAAATTAAAGCTTTAGCTGCTCTGAAAACCTTCATAATATGCAGGTTTAACAGATGCTGTTTGATAGTGATTTCATTTAATTTACCCAAATAGAAAAGGAATCGGCAAATAACTCAATATTTCATATCAGCAAGGAGTGAGTTCTTGCTTGGAGCTAAATCCTTTGTAGACTGCAAATTGTTGAGCTGCAGAGCCAAGTTGTCAGCCTTGGAAGTGTCATGCACGATGAAGAGCTGCTGTTCCTTGGAAACCTATTTGCAACCTATCGTGTCAGAAGTCCAATTTCAGTTCTACATCCCTAACTGTGCTTTTATTTTTTTTATTTTTTTTTTTTTTTTTAATACTGTCAAGTCAAACTCAGCCCTGCAGCCTGGAACCGTCTGTGTGCTGTGTGTTCTCGAGGTGGCAGGAGGTGACATGAAGGAGTTTGAGGGTGATCTGTGGCAGCTTCCTCCTTTACCAAATGGTGGCACGAAATGCCATTTGGCTGCACAGAAAAGTGACCAAAAAAAAAGCCCTGCTCCATATTTAAATCCACATGAAGTAGAGGTTTTTCTCTCCTATTTCCTTCTGTGTAGCCAGTGGAAGAGCAAAAATCTCTCAGCCCTTCCCCAGGGCTCCTCAAACCCTGACTCCACTGTTGTTGGACTAATGAGTGACTTTCCTCTGGGGCTCTGAGAAAATCTGGCTTATACAGAGCAGGGGAAGAAAATGTTAGGCTGGAGGCAACTGAGGAATATTGGTCATCTGTCTCAAATCAGTAATTAGTAAAATGCTAAAACTGAATTAGAGCTGTAAGGAAACAGTTAAAGCTTTTAAGAAATTTTATTCAAAGCTAATCAGAACTGTAGAGGACACATTTTCAAGGTGTCCTCCATATTTACCTGTGGAATGTTATTCACCAGAATTCTGGTGTAATGAGTGCTCCAAAGCAAATCCTCAGCCTGGTGCACAATGTCAGATCTTAACCCAAGTCAGACCTGTCTGAACAGTTGTGGTAGGTCTTTTTTGGGGTTTCTATTTGGGCAGTATGCTTCCAGCAGGTACGTGTTCCAGAAATAAACCCATAAAACACAGTGAAATCTTCGAGATGGAGGCTTCTGTAGGCACTTCATAAAAGTTTTTCCAAGTAGTTGCCACTTAGAGCAGCTTATCCTTGAAAAGGCATGTTATTGTTCAAGAAGAGGAAAAAGCCTTGATGTAGAACATGAATGGCATATGTTTATAGACTGAAAGATGTCTTTGGGGGCTCTTCAGTGTTTATTTCCTCTCAAGCCTTTTAAATATTCATTGTTTTGTGGTGAACTCCATCATTGTGTGTGTTTATGGATTCACACATACTGGAGTGCTAATTGCTGTTGTTTAGAGAACTCTTGAAATCTGTTCAGGTACAGCAAAATAACAATAAAATGTACTTTTTTGTCCTACTTCCAATGTAATACAAGCTCGGCTTCCTGCTGTTTAAAGCCTCGTTGCTGCTGTGTGAAAAATGTTGTCCAGCAACAAAGAGCATCCAGAAAAACAGCAGCTTTACTCACCAGATGCTGTCACATTTTTTTCCCAGTCTAATCTCTTACAGCTACTTCGTCATTAGTTGTAACAATGGCAGGTAAGACCATTTTCAGGCAAAAAGTGACCTTTCAGTTGACAGTGTGCTCTAATTGGTTTCAGAGATAGACCCCTGCACAAGTGGGAATGGAGGATGCTCACAAATCTGTCAGAATGAGAGAGGAATTGCAAAATGCGAGTGTCATCCAGGGCATTCTCTTTCTGCAGACAAAAAGTCCTGTTTAGGTAAGAAACTCTGCACTCTTTATTGTGAAGAAAGTTATTAATCAGTGCTCTGGCTTACTGAGCTGTGAGTGGGAAGAAATATGTTACACAAATATCTGTGTGCATTTTGGAACAGCTTTTCTCTCTGTGATATTCAGCCCATAGCCTTGAAGGACTTTTTTAGTGATGGAAATTCCTCTGTGATCTCCTAAGTCATGCTTTCTAGCAACTGGGTTTGTCAATGCTGTAGTGTTATTCTTGTAGGGTCCCTTTAAAATAATGTCCCAGATACAGCTCCTGGAAAATTGGTTCAAGTAAAACTCTGAACCAGGTCACTGAAAACCTATTTAGAATTCAAAGGGCTTTTTAGCTGGAGAACTGTTTCCATATTAATGGAGAAACTACTGTGAAGGAAGAAATCACGATGTGTAAGATTTCCAAAGAGAGGCGCTTGAAAAGTTGAATTCTAAAGTCTTGTATTTAGTCTGGGGTTGTCAAAAGAATCTGTAGCATTTTTGACTCAAAATTTAGCAGAATTAGAGATCAAAATACCTGCTTTTCTCTTTTAGTGAAACTCTGGGAAGATAGTTTAGCAGTTTTACCAAATAAAAAACATTCGTGTACTTAAAGGTGCACAGATTTTTAACAGCCAAGTCAGGATCAGGGTGTGTATATATATATATATATATATATATATATAGACACTAATTTTACACTCCTCTTTTGAAAACTTGGCCAAAATCTTGCTAATATTTAAATTATTGTCTCATATAAAGGGTGCTGGGTGCCTTTCAAAATATTTACTTCCTACCCTGAGCATTTTACTCAGTTGCCTGTAAGCCCTTCTGTGAGTGGAATGGCAGATCTTAGTAATTCTCTCTTATTGGAATTACTGATGAGTAATTATTGAAAATCAGAACTATTTCCAAGTAGTGTAGACATTCACTGATGATGAGTGGATGGAAACAACAGTGAGTTTAGCAGTAGGGTCAGCCTGTTGTTTGTTTTATTTCAGATATACATTGATATTTCCCTTGATTTATGTATAAACTGAATCACTGAGTTAACTTGCAGTGTTATATATTGGAACAAATTTTCTCTCCAGCCTCATGGCAACAATCTTTTGAATCATTAAGCAGCGTGTCTTACCATGGATATACAATTATTGTTTTTTCTCCTAGAAGTTACTCAATGTCTTTTGCAAAATTCAAGCTGTTTGACTCTCTGGAAACTGAGCTAAAAGGAGACAGAGGGCAGCTGAGGTGTCATACTTCAGCTATTAGCTGTAGGACAGGAAGAAACCTGTGCAGGATGGTGGCTGTGGTTCAACTTCTTATTTTTCTATTTAAAAAGAAGAAGAGAAAAGAATATTTACAGCATTGGCCAGTACAGTGTTCTCACAAACTGACAATTAGAGAAAAAGGAGAAATAACCCATTTTATTCTAAGCAGCAGCTGCTCCCATGTCTGCTTCAGAGAAGCTGTCATTTGTTCTGAAATTTTCATGAGCCAGTGTGTGGTGTTTGCACTGCCTGGGGCCTCTCTTTGCAAGGAGCCTGATTGCATCCATCAAACTCCTTGTGCTCAAGTGCAGGGGCCACGAGCACAGCACTGGGCACAGCACATGTGGAGGGACAAAACTGTTAGAAAGTGATTTTTCTGGGATAAAAAAGTGAAGAGCTGCACATCAGATTGCTCCTTGCCATTTTCAAGACACTGACCCATTGGTGCAATAAATAATCTGCATTTTGCCAGAAAGATGTCAGAATGGGAAGGAACAGGAGATGGATCAGGGGTTTGCCATGTGTGATTTTGCACAGAAGTCAGTGTTCTGTGCAGCTATATTTAGTGTAAATTCGTGTGGGTTTGTTTCGTTTTGTATTTTAACTAATTACTCCTTAAAAGTACTTTTATGTTCCACTGAGATTTTTAGGAAGATGGACACTTTTGTGGGCATTGAACTCCAAAATACAGACCAGCAAATGTGAAGCTGAGGAGCTGATGGAGGACTGGGGGTAGAGCAGCCTCCCCACTTCAAGCTCTGCACCTTTTCCTTTCCTCACAGGGGTGGTGAAGCTGCTGTGGCTGCTGCAGGAGCAGCTGCAGGATTCAGGGATGGTCTGTCTCCATCGTCCCTGCTGAAACCCAACCACCACTTAATCCAGATCATTTGGCATTCAGAAAATAAGCAGCTATTTCCTGTTCCATTAATTTAACTATAATGGCTCAGAGGGCATGAGTCCTCCAATTTCAGGGTTTTGGGAGTTTCTTCTGAGTTCTTCCCACGAGATCTTCTTTTGCCACTGCACTTTTTACAGGAATAATAAATAAGTTGCTTTGGCTGATACTGCAAATATAGTGTTTGATATTGTAAATGTTCACACTGAGAAGTTCAAGGTCAATGGTGCTCGGGAAAAAAAAAAGATTGTTGTGGAGAATAATGTGAGTATAATGTTCCTGGGTTCATGGGGTGCTGTCCTTTGCAGGCTGACACCAGGATAATCCTTGCAGCAGATATTTGGAATATTGGAAATGCAGCCGTGCCCACGTAGAGCAGCATTATTTTTTCATTTCAATATCCATCTGAAGGAGTTTCTCTGTGCTTGCAGACGTTGATGAGTGTGCAGAGGGCAGAGCCAGGTGTGCCCATCGCTGTGTGAACACCCCGGGCTCCTTCAGCTGTGCCTGCAGCCCTGGCTTCGAGCTGGGCGCGGACGGGCGGCAGTGCTACCGTAAGTGACCCCAGCAGTGCTCTCAACCTCTCCTCTCTGCTCCCTGCTAGGCCTCCCCGGGATTAGCATTCCCAGCAGAAAAAAATGTGTGCAAAAGATCAAGCTTAATACTGTTTTCTTCCTCAGCTGCTGCTGCTGGGATTGCAGGGTGACACGTTCCTAAGCCTGTGTTCACAGACCTTAATTACTGCCTTTCAAAGAGCAAATAGCCCTGTTGGTTTATCTTCAGAGTCTGGTGAATTGTGCTGCAGAGCTACCAGAATGCTGCTGTTCTGTGAAATGTATTCATTCCTGCCCTCCTCCTCCTTCTCCTCCCGGCTTTCTTACAGACCTCATGCAAGAGAAAACCAACATGATGTTCTGCTCTTGTCTTTACCTGTCTGGGTTTGCTTATGTTTCTCCTGAGATTACTGACACTATTAAGAGGATGCTTTTTTAAAAAAAGGAACAAAAAAGAAAGATTTGGAATGAAAAAACAGTTGAACAACTCAAAGTTCCCAAACTAAAGCGAGCCTTGTTGTCTTTCCTCACATACTTACCTCTTGCCAGCGGGGTTTCTTAATCAACACAGCTTTTCTGGAGAGGGGGACTGACTGACTCCCAGTGCTGTTAGCTGATAGGTGATCCTGGCCTGCCCTTGAGGGCAAATTTAGATTAATAAAGGAGGTGATGTGGAAGAGTTGGGGTTATTATGGACCTAACATAAGCTCCCTGGAATGCAGACAAAAGCATGACCTGTTTTAGCAAAGAGGTGGGCAAAGATCATTCAATCTAATAATACTGTGCAAGAGCTTTCAGCAGAGCTTCCTTAGGAAAATATGCTGCATGCCAGAGAATGAGTGCTTTATTTAAGAATGTGTGTGTAAGAAATAGTTATTAAGAATGAAATCCAGTTTCAAGGCATTAACATACATTACAAACAAAACCCAATTATGTGAGAGACATCCTGGAGAGCTATTTCATAGGTGATGGGGAACTATGAGTGGTGCAATGGCAGAGGAAATGTGATTAATATACAGATATGAATTCTTCTGTCATAGGCATAAAAAAGAGGTTTAGACCACTTAGATTTCATTGTGCTTTTCTGATAATATTTTTTCTGGATGTTCAGCAGATCTCAGGGGATGGTGATTCTCTGTGCCTCATGTACAATATTGCAGAGCAAACAATAAAAATAAAAACATTCTGCATATATTTATGATCAGGATTATCCCAGTGTTTGAGCAATTTACAATCTTTGTTTATTCTTTCATTTCCCCAGTGGCTGGGGAAGAGCTGGTATTTCAGTTTTACCGATGAAGAACTGAGACAAAGTAAATGATGAAGATAGTGTATAAAGTCAGATTCTGCATTTAATCGCTGGGTTTACTAAATCCCAGCTTAACACACTGGATAGAAAACACGATTTTTTCTCCCTGGTGCAAATAATCAGACTATGCATGAGATGTAGATATATCTATTCTCTTAATTTATACCCTCTTCCAGCTGGAATTACATTTCTTGTTGGCAAGCAGGGAGCACAAAGAGGGGTGGGACCAGAGCCCACCAGCACAGATGTGTCTGGGGAAATTCTGTGCCAGATCTGATGGCCACCACTCTGAGCTGGGATGTTTCTGGAAGTACAGTGGCTCCTTTACAAAAGGTGTTTCTCAGTCCCCCTAGGTAGTAGGAGAAATTTTTTCCTCTAAATAGCTCTGTAACAGGACAAGCTGGCTTATCCTTCATGAAAAACTTGATCACTGGCTCTATGGTTTCTTTTCATCCTAGAGAAATCATCTGATGATGTAACTGGGTAGGAATGAGGTGGCTCTTTTTTATGTGAGGGTTCCCATTTGAAATGGCCAGGATGTTCTGAGGACTGTCCATATGAGAGGCAATGGAAGTCTGTCAGGGCAAAAGGGGCTGGCAGTGGCACTGTGCCACCCTGTCTTAGCTGCAGCGGACAAAGCAGAGCTGCTGTGTCCTCCTGGAAGGGACATACAAGAACCAAAACCTGGAGATTGTTTGGCATTGTGGCTGTCTGTTTCACCAGCAGGACTCTGCAGAGGAGGTCTCAGTGCCTTTGTGTTTGGGGGTGTTTCAGAATCCAGCTGTTTGCCATTCCCACACAGAACTCAAAGCAGCTCTTTGGGGAGTGTGTCAGGCTGGGTTCAGGGGCACCACCTGGGCTCCTCAGATGGTTCTGTTCCCCTTTGGGGCAAGCACTGTGTCCAAACAAAGCTTAAACCTGAGGAACCCTGGCAAGGCTCCTGTAGCAGGACCTTCTAAACGGTCAAATGTAGGTTATTGTGAAACAGAACATTTTTGAGAGCTGGTGGGTCCTTGCTGTTGTCTCTTTTCATAGAACCATACAGCCACTGGAACACTGAAGCAGTTTCACATGGCTGAATTTGAGAGCATCCGCTGTTGTGACACAGAGACCAACACCTGGAGCTCAGTGACTCCACAGCCTGCTCTTCTGGGAAGGGATGTGAGCTGATTATACTCACTGCCACAGCACTCATGACTGCTGTTTTTACAGCAGGCTGATCCTCCAGCGACTCCCCCCTCCCTTGAGCTTGCATTTTAACATCCTTTTGATTTATTTCTCCGCAAGGCATCGAGATGGAGATCGTGGACAGCTGCCGGGAGGGGAACGGGGGCTGCTCGCACCGCTGCGAGCACACGGCAGCGGGACCGCGCTGCTCCTGCGGCCGCGGCCAGCGCCTGGCCGGTGACGGGAAAACCTGCTCAGGTAACCGTGCCCAGGTGTGCGAGGGCCCGGGGAGCCTGCGGGAGTGATGCCCAGCAGGGAAATCAATGCCTGCCCTCCTCCTGCAGGTGTTAATTGACAGCGCTGCTCCGGCTTGCCTGGCTGCGGGAGCTCGCTGGGAAGGGGAGGGAGTGGAGGTGACACTGGTGCCATGGCAGTGTCACCGTGGGCAGCCCGAGCATCGCAGACCTGCCCTTGTTTCCCTTCCCTTCTCGGCTGGTGGCAGCACAGCTGCTCCCCAGAGCTTCACGCACAAACTCCTCCTCTTCGTGCTCCACGAGTGTTGCCATCGGGTTTGCTCGGTGATGAGGTTACACTTCTGCCTGTGAGAAGTCTCACTTGGGAGGTGAAAGCAACAGAGTTAGATTTGGGTTTATTTCGAGACAAGAGCTTGAAAATTCATTCATGTTTTAAGCAATCCTGCTAGGAGATTTTTTTTGTGTGTGTGTTCGTTTTATGTTTTTGTTTTCTTTATGGCTTTTGCCATGCAAACTGTATCTCGCTCTGCTTTGGGCGTGCTGTCGCTATGTCATTACAATTTTTAAGAATAGCCAGGAAGAGAGGGGGGCTGGAAAAAGAAACAGGCACCACAAAGCAGTGTGGTGAGATATGAAATGGTGAGGAGAGGTAGAGTGGGAGCATTGATGAGTGTGAGAGGCATCACAGACAAAAGGAGTCTGCAAGGGAAAAAAGCCAGGTGCAGGAGAGAGGAGGAGCAGGGGAGGAGGGAAGCATTGAGGGCTGCAAGGGCAGGTGATGATGGAGCTTAAAAAGCAAAACAGAAAAAGTTTGGGTGGCAGATTTGGAGCCAGAGCCTCACAGGGGTGGGTGGGTTACACAGTCTGTACATCTGACAGGAGGCAAAGCCTCCTGCCCACATCCCAGCTCAGTGACCTGCTGCTGGGGATTTCGGGGGAAGCAGATACTACAGACACAGCAAGGGAAGGGGGAGAACACAGAGGAAGGCTGACCACATGAAAAGTTGTTCTTAAAAGCAAAAATCTCCTTTTTGTTGGATGCTGATTTTGCATTCCTACACAAACAAGGGGCTGTTGCTGGAACCCAGAGCGAGGCATCACCTGATGTACTGCAGAGGAGCTCAGCTTGTGACATTTCTGGAAAACACTGCCTTCAAATAACCTGCATTAATCATTTTCACACTGACCTCCTCACCTCGATTGATTAATTACATTTTCTTTCTCCTGTCCGTGTTTCCTCATAAAGTTGGTGCTCCTTCCAAGGTTAATTGAGACACTGACCTTTCCCATCTGCAGCTGCTCAGCCAGGCCACGTTCAGAAGCATTTTGCAGACTCAGCATTGACAAGGTGGCCCTTGGATGGCCACTGACCTGCTCAGCAGCCTGACAGCAGCCAGGAGCCTGCAGTGCACAGATAACAGCTCAGCTCTCCTATCTAATCACCAGAACACTGGTGTCAATGATACCAATTTCTGAGTGTGCACAGAGCAGGAGGAGGCAACAGGAAATCAGTTATCAAAAACTACAATTGAACCTTTCCAGGCTGCTGCTGTCCAGCAAGTGCCTGGCTGGATCAGAGCATTGTTAGGTTGAATTGAATAAAGTTGAATGTGAAGAAGTCTAAATGGTCAAATGTAGGTTACTGTTAAACAGAATGGTTTTGAGGGCTAGTGGGTCCTTGCTGTTGTCTCTTTATGTAGAATATTCTGAGTTGGAAGGGACACACAAGGATCATTGAGTCCCATTCCTGGCACTGCACAGACATCCCAACAATCCCACCCTATGCATCCCTGGGAATGTTATCCAAACCTTCCTGGAGCTCTGGAGCCTCGGGGCTGTGCCCATTCCCTGGGGAGCCTGGGCAGTGTCCAGCACCCTCTGGAGAAAGAACCTTTCCCTGATACCCAGCCTAAACCTCCCTGACACAGCTCCAGCCATTCACTCGGGTCCTGTCTTTGTCACCTGTGAGACCAGCTGGTGTTTTGTAAATGCCCCCATGGCAGCTCAGACTTGTAGAGGAGATGTCTGTCCCAGGATGTGGAGGGTCCTGGCTGCTATGGGAAGGAGTAGAAGGCAGCTGCTGTCAGGATTCAGACCGTGTTCATGTGGTTGAAGGAAGGTGTAAAGCAGTGAGTGCTGCAGCACAGTAGCTCTGAGCAGAGCTGTGGCAGCAGCTCGGGGTGTCTCAAAGGCTGAATGTGCTCCCCTTTCCTTGCAGAGGTGGATGAGTGTGAGACTGGAGAGTCCTGCTGCTCCCAGTTCTGCATCAACTACGCTGGGGGCTACGAGTGTACCTGCAAGGCAGGGTTCCAGCTCAGCACCGACGGCTGCTCCTGCGACGGTGAGCACGGGCTCGGGGGATGGGCTGGGCTGGAAGGGACCTCAAAACCATCTCATTCCACCCCTGCTGTCAGCAGGGACACCTTCCACTGTCCCAGGTTGCTCCAAGCCCTGTCCAGCCTGGCCTGGAACATATGCAGGGATGGGGCAGCCGCAGCTTCTCCGGGCAACCAGAGCCTCACCACCCTCACAGGGAAGAATTCCTTCCTAATATCCAATCTAAACCTTCCCTCTGTTAATCTAAAGCCATTCCCACTTGTCCTGCATCATTCCATGCCCTTGTCAAAAGTCCTTTGGTACCAGTGGCTCGGTCTAGCTAATCACAGCCTAGGGTAGAAGAAATGCTGTCAAAGCCCTTTGCAGGGCTTTGTGAGCACTGCCCTAATGAGAGTCACTGACCCCATGCCAGCTTTGCTGATAAGGTTTTACAAACGTGTAATTTCCACTTTGTGAGGCTGGCTTACAGGAATAACCCAGCATCCAGTCTGGGGAAGTGGGGATGTGGGAAATGAGCCAGCAGAGAAAAACTTTCCCTCCTCTCTCCATGGATGCTGTATATTGATGTGTGTTAAAACTCCTTCCACAAAAGAAGAGCCCTCAAAATAACTCAAAGATCAGCTGATCTGAACAGCTTAGAGCATCTGTTTTCACTCGAGACAAGAACATCAGTGAAATAATCTGCTCCCTGTTGCCCTGAAATGTTTTCATACCTCCAATACCAGAGAGAAATGAAGAGCCCCAAAACACGTAAGAAAAATTGTGTTTTCTTATATATAGAATAATTTGTCAGATGCAGCTGGGCACAGCATGGGCTCTCTAGCAGAAGTGCTTGTTCCTAATCACCATTTATGTCTGGATTTTCTAGATGTGGATGAATGTCGTCTGGATAATGGCAACTGTGACCATTTCTGTGTGAATTCCCTGGGGTCATACGAGTGTGCCTGCAAGGAGGGTTACACACTTGGGGATAGCAGATGGGCCTGCGTGGGTGAGTTCTTCTCAAAGCTTGAGGGCCATTAAGCACTTCCCACTGATTTAAAAAGTGATTTTGGAATGGGGATTTTCACAGATCCTGGGGTTTTGGGAGCCCAACTCGAGCTATCTCTGAACGTGGCCAGGGTAGGGCTACGTGCAGTGCGTGGATCCAAGTTCATCCTCCAGTAATGGCTTTTGCTGAAGATTAATGGCAGATGAGCACTTAAATCCCCTGGACATGTTTGAAAACCTAAAGCTCCTGGTTTAGAAATAAATACTATTTTGACACTTTTCTTGTGCTATTTGATGAAGTTTAACATCCTGTGGAAAAAAAAAGGTAGCCAGATTCTTCTTTGATCAACCATGGCAAGTTTTCCATTAGTCAGTGACGTTATTCTGGATTTCTGCCAGTGTAACCAGTCCAGAGTTTAGCAGAGCAACTCAATTTTATAACCAAGTTTAGCAAGTGCTAAACCTTAAGCCAGAGTTTGATATTCTAACCAACACCAAAAAGAAAGCCAACTGATTTCCCGTCATTTTAAGGCTCAAATTTTAATGTTTCTTAAAATAAATTGCACAGCCGGCCTCACTTTCTATTTGTCATCTCCAGAACGAGCAAGAGTAATGACCTTCATTAACTAAAAATAATCTCAAACTTCAAGTGAGGAAAATGAATCTCCTCATTTAATTTTGATTCTTTGGGAACAGAGTTTTTTTCCAGAAGAAAGAAAAGGGAAATATGGGGTGGGGAGGGTGTCTCCCTTTTTCTCTTTATTTTTTTTTATTTTGGATAGCAGAATCTCTGCAAGTAGAGATGAGAAAATGCCTGGGCTGGGAGTGCTGGGCAGAGGTGTGGCTGGAACATCTAATGGCATCATAATAGTAAAAAAAGATGTAAATGAGAGGCTGGGGAGGCAGGCTGGGGTGCTGATGGGTGTGTTTGTGCAGCCCTAGGTGTGGAGGAGGTGGATGCAGAGGAGGCAGCAGGGCTGGCTGGGGCCCCAGGGCTGCAGTTCCGAGGGCCCCCCCAGCTGCTCCACTACGCACTGGGATCCCTGGCTGAGGATGGAGACCCCCGAGGAGAGCTCACCCTGGTGCACAGGGTTGGTGAGTGACCAGCAGGGCCCTGAGCCAGCACAGCAGACTGGGGGATGGTCTCAGGGACAGGATTTGGGGCTGGGCTGGCAGGGCTCAGCATCAATGAGGAGGGATGAGCGTTAATCCTGCATCCTGCCCGTCTCCATGGTATGGTCCATCCCAAATGGGACACGTTTGAGGAGCCAGGAGGCTGCCTGGATGCTCTGGGAGGGAGGCAGGGGAAAAGGGAGCAGCACAGCAAGCAGTGGCTGGGAGGCTGCTTGGAAAACAGGGTGTCTGCACAGAGCCCCAGGGACAGAGCTCATTGTGACAGGGCTGAGAGGGTGGCAAGGCTTATTGCAGTGCCCTAAATCCCTGGGGAAACAAAACACTCCCTTCCTCCTAGAGCTGGGAGCATGAGTCCCTGTTTACAAACCCTTTTATAACAACTGGAGGCTTTTTGCTTAAGATAATTTCTTTTTTGCCTGTGTAAAAACAATCCTCTGAAGATTCAGGTTTCCCTTGACTCTCTGGGAAAAGCACCAACCCATCCATGTACTGCTCAAGTGGTTGCAAACAGCACAGGAGCACCCACTGTCACAGGAGTGGATGCAGAGCAGCTTTGCATGGTTCAGTCTTTCCACCTGAAGGTGCAAACTTCACAATTTTAAGAGTATTATGAGGTGAAGCCCTGTATTTGCTTTGTGTTCAGTGCTGGTGGATCACTGGGGAGGATTTCTTGTTTTTTCCTATGTGTGTCCTGTGATTTTTATATAAACTCTGTAATTATCCAACTGAGGACTGTGCCCTACAGGCAAAAATCAGGAGCTGGTCTTGACTTTAATAAAAAATTAATTTATTTTTGTGAACAAAACTGTTAAGACCCTCCCAAATCATGCAGCATCCAGCCGGACTCAACAACACCGATATCCAACTGGGAAACTGATAAATGAGATAACCACAGGCAAAATTATCAGGCCTAGAAACCACAATCAAATATTTATTGACCACTTTTTGCATGTTTTATTTATATTTAACTACAGAAATTGGGGTGTTATCAGTCACAGCTGAGCAGCTGCACTTTTTCTAAGGCTCAGGCTTTGCAGCATGCAGTGGTTTGTATGAAAAGGTGATGGAGAAAAGGAATTTTAAATGGTTTAATAAGTTCTTTTACCTCCCAAATAGCAATTTATTCCTTGTATTTTCAGACACGGTTTTGTGCTGCTATCTAAATTGTAAAAAGCCTGCTTTAACAGTAAAGCTGGTGCAAGTAATTAAATATTTTCTATAACTTGAATGACTCTTTAAGGTGGAAGCATGATTTTTTAATGGTGGTCCGTATTCTTCTCCTGAAGTATGAATTTGTACCCTGTTCCAAGTGGGAGCATTGGGATTCTGAGTGTCCCTGAAAGCTTGGGCATTTGTTCAGTACAGAAAAGATAACAGTTGGGTGCTCAGACCTAGAGGAAATCTGGCCTCACACAGAAAACTGTTGGTGAAATGAAACCAGCCTGTGAGTTACTGTAGGCTGAAATAAGCTGCCAGCTCACTTTCAGGTGCTGTTAAAAATCCCCTTCCAAAAAGCCTCCAGCCACAGCCATGAAGCCTTGAATGCTCTGTACTGTGTGGATGGGATCTTCAATGCCACTGAAGTATTTTATCAGACAGTCACTTTATTTTGCATGCCTGTCTCAATAGACCCCACAAAGAGAACATGAGGGTGCAAGGGATAAAAGGAGGGTGGGGAAGGAAAGGGAGAAAAAGCATTTTCATATCAGGTATCCTGTATAAAACCCTACATATCCATGAAGAGAAGAGACATGATGTGTATTTTGCTTTGTTTTCCTAGAACACTCAAATTATGTGGTTGAAATATGACTGAACTATGTTTGAGTAGCACTACATCCACTTACTGCAATAAAACAACAGGGATAGCCTAGCAAGGAGAGAAGCAAAGTCCCAGTAAATTCTTCTCATTATGTACAATGTTATCAAGCATTAGCTGCAAATTCACTTTTTCTGAAGGCAAAACTCTTGCTTTTAAAAGTAGCTCGAAGTGTTCTTTTCTGGAGAATTACAGCATTTAGGGGAGTAAATTCCAGCTGAACACCCAGCTTTCCTTGCACTTGGAGTAAAAAATGTGAAGAGGGACATTCAGGAATGCCCATTTTGCCTTTTGTGCCGAACTGGCGGGGTTTGCAACCCAGCAATCGGTAAGAGCTTGTGGGAGCATTTTTGTCTGGCTGCTCGCTCAGCCCTGTGTGTGTTTTTTTGCTGTCAGTGTGCCTGGGTGACACGTTTGGCCAGGACTGCAGCCTGAGGTGTGAGGATTGTCTGCACGGGGGCAGCTGCAACAGCGAGCGCAGCGGCTGCGTCTGCCCGCCCGGCTGGGCTGGTGCCATCTGCAATGAGAGTGAGTACGGGGCTTTGGAGGGGAATGATCCTCCTGCAGGTGGGGAATGGGAGTCAACCGCTTGTACTTTCCATCTGTGGAGCTCCCAAAGGAGCACAGCTGTCTCATAATCAAATTTGTTGTGCTGGGGCACATTAAGTAGGAACTGTAAGTGATGCCGCAGCACACAGAGGTCCCTGCACTCCAGAGAAGGTCAGGACAGAATCATCTCCCTGCTGAATATTTGGTTGTTGTTCATTCCTGTTCATTCTGCTGCTAAAAGCTGCCAAAGTTTGCTGGCCATGCTTTGTCCCACAACCTACCTTGGTGATTTCCAGAAGTCTGTTCCAGAAATTGGTGTGACAGTCTAGGTGGACATGTATGCTAAACTTGAGTTTTTCCATTGTAGCAGTTTTAATTTTTTTTCTTATGTTTTCCATTTTTTTTTCCTTATCATACTTTTTATTATCACTTTCTTGGAACAGTTAATTTTTCATATTGGAAATGGTATTTTTCAGAATTCTGTTGCCAAGTCATTGCCCTTTATAATAGCTTTTCACTCTCCTTGCTCCTGTTTCCTGGCAGAAGATCTTTCTGATTCAGAAGTATGTGTCAAAACCCATTGGAAAGAGAGTGGTGATTTCTTGATGTGCTGTTCTTCATCTGCAGTTTGGCAAAACTTGTCTGCTGCTTGTCTGAGACATCATAGAGCAGATTTCCTGTTTGAGATGGGTCCCTCTATTTCGTGGTGCGTGACATGATGGCCCATCATTCTCAGAAAGTCTTTGCTGTCACTGGTGAGACGAAAAGTCAATGAAAATTTATTACTTGACATCAGTAGACAGCACTCTTCAGGTTAATTGCCATCAAGATTGTTTAGGGGATGTCATCACATGGACAGATATGTAGAAAAATCAAGCAAGTGATTGAAACCAACAGTCTGCCCGTGATTATTTTGGGAGACTGATGGTGGATTTGGTTTGTAAACACTGGGGGCAGCCAAGAGAATAGGAATGGGGAGGATTAAAATGATAATTTCCAGTCTATCTAAGACAGTTCAAGTTATCAAGGTGAGGATATTCTTACTTTTATCCCTGGTGTGCTACTAGTTCAGGATAGATTATAAAAATTTCAAGGCAGTATCCAAATTCTTTAGTTCATTTCATAAATAACAGCGTTTATGATGTATATTTGCACTAGATATCCATGCATATAGTCTAATGAAATTCACCTCTGGAATTTAAAGAACTTTAATAGGACTGTGTTATTGAGCTAAACCTGCTGTCTGATGAAATCAGCAGGGACAGTGATAAATACAATATCTAATCTGTATTAATTAGTCATATGTGATTGCTTTCATTCTTTTCTCTTGCATTTTTTAATAAACAGCCCAGTTCATGGGTTTGGGGTAAGCAGGTTTAGGGTAAGCTAAAAAACAGTGGAGAAAACTGGAACTAAATTTCTCTAATAATGCACCAAAGAAGCCAAATGGAAATTGATGTGAAATGTCAACTTTCTTAATGTACATTGATAAAATGTCAGTGAAGTCAGATGACTCCAGCAACTGTATTCACTCAGCCAGCTCAGGCTGCAAACAGTAGAGCAAGGCTTCATCTCACAGTTTGTTTTTGCTGTTGTGGATCCATTGCTGCCATGATTACCTGGGGAGTTTCAGAAACTAGATTTGTAAAACAAGATATTATTTTTGTGATAGCGTTTGGGAGAGAAAAAAGAAAGTTTAAAATATTTTTCTCCAAGTATTCAAAGCTGTCCTCTGATGTTTAAGCTTTGGACTTGGCAGGCAGTGGTTTTTGAGCCTGTGCTTTGTGGGGAGAGGAGCATGTACAGGGGAGGGTTGGATACATGGCAGTACTTCCCAAAGCTTGGTTATTGTCCTTTGAGATGTCCCAGTAAATAACAGGTGAATGTGCTTTATAGAAGAATATAACTTTGTTTAGAACCTGCTCAATTAGAAGGACTCTCTCCTTGCTCCATTTTCACAGAATCAATTAGGCTGGAAAAGACCTTTGAGATAGAGTCCAACCTATGGCCCAACACCACCTTCTCAACCACACCATGGCACTGAGTGCCACATCCAGTCTTTCCTTAAACACCCCCAGGATGGTGACTCCACTTCTCACCAGGGCAGCCCATTCCAATGCCCAGTCACCCTTTCTGTGAGGAAATTCTTCCTGATGTCCAACCTGAACCTCCCCTGGTGCAGCTTGAGTCTGTGTCCTCTTGTCCTGTTGCTGGTTGCCTGGGAGAGGAGATTGACCCCCACGTGGCTACACCCTCCTGTCAGGGAGCTGTAGGGAGCCATGAGGTTTCCCATGAGTTTTCCAGGCTGAACACCCCCAGCTCCCTCAGCCACTCCTCACAGGACTCATTTCCCAGACCCTTCATCAGCCTTGCTGCCCTTCTCAATGACCAAAGCCTTATTTTCACCTTTCCATCAGAGGGGAAGGATGTGTTGGTGTGTTCACTCTCCCTCTCTCTCCACAGCCTGTCCCCCTGGGACGTTTGGCAGGGGATGTGCTGGTGTCTGCCAGTGCCAGAACGGAGGCTCCTGTGACCCCAGCACGGGGCAGTGCCACTGTCCCCCCGGTGTGCTGGGACAGCTCTGCGAGGATGGTATGGCTCCAGCTCTGCCTCAGCCATTCCCCTTCTCCCCTTGTACTGGTCTGAAAGCAAAACCAGTAAGAGACTCCAAGTCAGAAATACAATTTAATAGGGAAAAAAATAAAATACGTGCAATAATACAAAAGAAAAGCACTGATAGAGTCAGAATACAAGCTGACACCCCGCTAGGTAGGGTGGTGGTAGCAATCCAGATGAAGTGTTCTTGTTGAAGCAGTGATCCTGTAGAAAGATCTGGTAACTCTTGTCCTCTGGAAACCAGTGGGTAAGGGCTGCCTTGGTGTTCCAAATCTCAGATTTTATCTGGGTAGGAAAGGCTTGGCTCCTCCCCCTGGGTGGAGCATCTCCCAATGGGATGATGGAATTTTATCAGTCATGCAGTGAGACTGCATGGCCATTAACAGGAGATATCTCCTGGAGGGAGGATGGGTTGTGGAAAAGATAAAGATCACTGCCCCAGCTGTTTTCAACAGATGGTGATAGAATACTTTTGGGCACATCTTTACACTGTAGCCATGGACACCTCTCTTGCTCCTTTATTTTAAATAATGAGCAGAACAGAGGGTGAAAAAAGCCAGTGGCTGTTGAGGCTGCACAGAGCCCCAGATTGGCCAAAAACTACTTTGATGAACCGTATCCACTGATGCCTTCCTGTGTTCGTGCATTTCAAAGGTTGCCCAAAAGGTTTCTTTGGGAAGAACTGCAACAAACCATGCAACTGTGCCAACAAGGGCCACTGCCACAGACTGTATGGAGCCTGCCTGTGTGACCCCGGGCTCTACGGCCGCTTCTGCCACCTCAGTAAGTCCCCGGCGTTTCTCGGGTCTCTTCAGTGTGTGCACAACGTGACAGTCTGTAAAAGATCCCACATCACCTAAAGGGGGCTGACAGAAAGGGAGTGACTTCTTGCACAGTCAGTCAGTGCTAGGACAAGGAGGAATGGGTTTAGTAAAAGAGTAGAGATTTAGCTTAGATGTTAGAAAAATGTTCTTTGCTGAGAGGGTGGTGAGGCCCTGGAAGAGAGAAGGTGTGGCTGCCCCATCCCTGGGAATGTCCAAAGCCAGGCTGGATGGAGCTTTGAACAACCTGGCATAGTGGAAGGTGTTCCTGCCCATGGCAGGGGGATGGAATGAGATGGACTTTATGGGACCTTGCAACTTAAATAATTTTATGATAAAATGAGCAGGACTTTGGGGTGGGAGTAGCAGGAGGATAGGACTTTTGATATGTTCCAGGAAGCCCCAGAAGCTTCATTAATCTTTTTCTCTAGTGATTAATCTTTACCATAAAGACTGAGATTTACTGATGCTCAAAGGTGAGGATTATAGGTGGGGTCAGCCTGTTAACATCAGGGTTATTGCTGAGGTTGGAATCTGGTTGGAGCTGGTTAGTGACTGCTGATGACTTGGAGTGGGAGCTGGGGAGCAGGGCTGGCTGGGACAGGATGAGGATCAGACATTAAACGGAATAAAAATAATTAAAACAAAAACTTTGCAAAATAGATGATGAAGTTTCTTTGTACTTACAGGTGTTGTTTGTAAAATCTGTGCAAGATGAAAAATCTTTTGTGTTTTATTTTGTTTTGGGTTTTACTATGAAAGCTTTTGTCTTGGAGTGAGCCCAACCTTTTTTTCGTTTGGAAAATCAGCTGAGTTTGCTTTGAAATGTTTCTGGTTCTTGCATTCACCACGTATTGCTTGACATGAAATAAATGACCTAACACAGGAATCATGTAAACTCTTCTTTTACCCACCCACACATGAACAGGTGCTGCTGTAGGAGCAGGGGATGTGCTTGCTGAAAGCGAAACAGAGCTTTTGCTTCTTGCAGCAGTTGCATTCTGCAGCAGTGTGCCGTTTCAGCCGGCTCCTGCATTAATTACAGAGCTGATGCTTCCTTTTCTCGTGGCTGCAGCCTGTCCCAGGTGGGCGTTCGGCGCGGGCTGCTCGGAGGAGTGCCAGTGTGTGAAGGAGCACACGCTGGAGTGCAGCCCCAGGAACGGCTCCTGCACCTGCCAGCCTGGCTACCACGGCAAAAAGTGCCAGAAAGGTACCACACCCAGCCAGCTTCCCCACCTCTGCTTGTTCCTTTGTCCCAGTAACTTCTCCTTCTTCTGCCCCTCTGCTTTGTTTGGCTCCTGCCACTCATTTCTTCATACCCTGCTAATGATTTTGTGGGGTTTTAACCCTGCTAGGGTTAAAAAAATCCAGAAATCCAGAACCCAAATCCTAATGCAACCTTAAATAATGAAGATCGTGTGAGTTATCATTTCTGTGCCTTTCTGACACAGTCAGTAAATAAGTAGCAAAATCTGTGTTTTATGGCAGTGGGGTGATTTGTAAACAGGTTCAGTAATGCTGCTTTGCCTTCAGATTTGCAACTCTCTGAAATCAACCTACTCTTTGTAGTTTTTGGGGGTAGTTCAAAGAGAATTATATCCCATATTCATGTTTGCATGTCTCAGTAGCCCTTTCCAGACAGCACTGGAGTAACACAATAAAGATTCTCCCTTCAGATTTTTCTCTGGACAGACATGACTGTATTGGATTTATGGCAGTAGTTCTGGTGGGTTTGGTGGAGAACAATAATGACAACATTTAATATTTTTATCACTCTCGACAGTTCTGACAGGGAGCATGCCTTGCCCAGCACTGGCTGTGCACCAAGGGAGAGAGCAGCAGAACTTAGACATATGAGAATTTCATAGTGTATTTAATTGAATGCATCCTCAAGTATTCTAATTGAATAAATCTTTAAGCATTCTGCCACTCTGTTTCTGGGTTATATTTAAACAGTAACCTCTTTGAAGTGTAAGCATTTATTAAGCATTTACACTTTGTTAACAACACCTCTAAAATGTACATTATAATATATTCTCTGCAAGTTTCTGCCAAATTATTTTCTGATTTTTGTTCAATTTTTTTAACTTTTCCTTTTTCTTATATATGTTCTGTATCTGCTTCTATTTCCAGAATGCACCCCAGGGTTTTATGGGTCTGGTTGCAAACTGAGGTGCAGCTGTCCTCCTGATGTTCCGTGTGATCCTGAGACAGGAGCCTGCAAACATCCGTGCCCTGCCGGGTTTCATGGAGAAAAATGCCATTTGTGTAGGTACTCACTGCATGTTTCCCTGGGAGACACACTTGAGATGGGAAAGCTTATTCAGGAAGTTTAGGTTCAGATATAGAAGTTGCAGAGAAATGGGAACATTTGTTGTTGATAGGAGTTGGCAGTTCCCCACTGAAACCAGACTGGTATTTGGAGCCTGGCAAAGGCTGTTTCTCTCCCTCTCTCTCTCTGCAAAGGTCAAGGCACAAGGCTGAGGCCAGTTACCCAAACTAACATTTGTCCAGGTAACAACAGTTGCTTTTAAAGCTTCAGGCACAGACTTTGCAGGGCTCTGCTGCAGTTGATTTCAGACCACCAGTTGCTCAGATAGTAATGCTAACATTGATCACTTCTGCCAGCACAGCTCAGTTTAAAATTGGTGGCCATGGTGCCTCCTAATGTCTTCAAAATGCTCCTAACCATGACTTTGGGTTTTTTTTTTCCAGCTTGTCAGCCTGGCAGCTTCGGGGTGGGCTGCAGGCAGAGGTGCAGCTGTGGAGGAGCCCCTTGTGATCCAAAGACAGGGAAGTGTGTTTGCCCAGCTGGGAAGACTGGTGCTACGTGTGAGCAAGGTGTGTGAGGTGCTGGACCAAGGTACAGAGTGCCTGGCTTTGGAAGATGTGATAAGAAGTAGAATTTTGCTCTTTTCCAAACCAATAAACAGACAAACTGTGATGGAAATTGAGAGAGAGCCTTTGATCTCTCTTTAGCTGTGTTCTTGTGTGCTGCAGTTTAATGGCAGGGCTGACAGGGATGTTGGTCTCTAGAGATAATATAACAATCCAGCTCAGTTTTACTATTATTTTTAAATTCTTCAGGGTAACAGCAGAAAATGTACAACTGTTCTGAAACAGAAAATGGCAGTGGTTACACCTCTTGTGCTTTTTCTCCAGATTGCCCAGATGGCCAGTGGGGACCAGACTGCCAGAACTCCTGCGAGCCCTGTGCCAACGGGGGACAGTGCAACAGGGAAACTGGAGCCTGTGACTGTCCCCCTGGCTACACTGGGCCATCCTGCTCTGCCAGTAAGTCCTTCCCTCAGCCTTCTCCACGAAAAGAAAGTCAGATTGAAAATTCAGGTTATGGTTTGAGTTCTGCCTTCTTATTCTTTTGTGAGATAAAACATGCTGATCTCAGATTAAGTGCCCTTCATCTCCAGGAATTCCCCAGGTTGGATTTGACATTATTTGTGGGAGGGAGGTTGCAGATAAAGGCACGTGATCAGCTAAGCTGCATCCCAAATGGATATTATCATTAGACCTAATTTATGGCAAGCTGTTCTTGGAAATACAGTGTTTAACAACCACAGCACTGGTGGTGTAATCCTGGCTGTTTGGCAAGAGGTGTGAGCAGCTGGCCCACATGGCATCAATCTTGAGTTATGCTTGCAGCAGCACTCCTTGGTGTAGATCATTTAGGATTAAATAATACTGAAATGAGGGAGCAGTATCAGTATCCCTGCAGCCAGAGACCATGGGAAAACATTCAAGGAATTGTTCTGTGCTGCTCTTCAGCCTCTGGGTGTTCAAATGCTGCTTGAGTGTGGCTGTAGAGCTGCACAGAGGCTCCCAGGACAGCTCTGCTTTGTGCAAGACCTTGGTGGTGGCACATTTTTAATTCTCATTCGTCACAAAATAGCTTTTGAGGCTTTTCTGAGGAAAAAGCCTGATGCACGGGAGTACCCAAAAGTCACTCAAGCTATTCCCACATCCCAGGACTCAGCCCCAGACACAGAGGGTGCAGATCCCAGATATGTCTGTGTGGCTGTTCTGATTCCTGGACTCAGTTAAAGCCAGTTTTAGGGGCTGAGCTGTCGCTGTCTGTTTGGGAAGATGAGCCTGTGGCTGGGTTGTGAGCTGGCGGAGGTCACAGCCTGTCTCTGTTTGCAGCCTGCCCCTATGGGCACTATGGGCTGAGCTGCCTGTCGCTGTGCAGCTGTGGCAGCAGTGCTCAGTGTCACCACGTCACTGGAGAGTGCTCCTGTCCCCCGGGCTGGAGTGGCCACGGCTGCACACACCGTAAGTCAGGGCACTCGGGATCTCCCCGGGGCTGCACGTGGAGGAACCAGCTCTGTTTGCTCTTAGTTTATTACAGTTTTTTAATATAGTTTTGCTAATCTTACTGCTTCTGAAAAGGCGTGTTTGTGGGTTTGCACAGCCTGGGTGGTTATAATCCTTAATTATCCAGGTTCAAAGCATGAAATAGATGGCTGATGAAGCGCAAAGTATTGATATAAGCTCTTATTTCAACACTATGGATCCCTTTGCCCAATACCATCTGTCCCGTCAGCATTTTGACTGACAGACAGTTTTGTTTTTCATTTTCAGTGCAGATTAGTTTTGAGATTAATTCTCCATTTCTCATTTTGTTTGGGGGAGATTTATTCAACAAGTGAGTGGCATGTAGAGTCGTGTGTCTAAAGGTCACTTTTTAACTTGGGAATAGAAATGCTGTGAAAAATTCTGTTCTCTGGAAGAGCAGAGCATCCTTCTGTTGACTTTAGCACTGTTCTCCATATTGGTGGTTGTGTGAGAGAGTAGATTTGCCCTTTTTGGATGGCACCATATAAATGTGAAGCCATCCTCCTTGATTCCTCCCTTTTCCTGTGACACATCTCTTCTGTTTGATTCATTGTGATGCCTCTTGCAAAAAGCCAACAGAAGACAAACCTCTTTCTAAACTTGGTCTTAAACACATAAAATCATTTAATTGGCAGTGTTGACAGCAGCAGGTTTTGCACCTGACTTCTCAGGCTCTGTACTGAAGAAAATGCTGGGAAAATCTGAAGTTTCCACCCATATGCATATTTTAAAAATCAAACCAGTTGGTAGTGTGTAGAGCCACTGAGATGGCTTTTCACAACTCCCTGGGCCGTCTAGAGAACTGAGATATCATGACAAAGAAAAGCTTTTATTTCTATTCAGTGTAAGATCTGAGAAAAATTGTTTTGCAGTGGTATGTCAGTAAGGCAGCTTCCAGCTATTGCAGACCAGGCATTAAACAGATTCCCAACTCCAAAACCAGGTTTCTGTTGCCCTAATTGGCACTTTCATCTTCATCCTTTACTTGAAAGAAAGGAAATGCTGTGGTACATTGTAGTAATTGTGTCAGTGCTATGTGATTTTAGGATGAAAGCACTAAGTTGCTTTAAAAAACATTGTGAGATTTCCTTTGTGTCTGTGCTGCATTTCCCAGTACTCACTCTGGTTAAACCTACTAACTATTCTGGTTATGCAGATTTTCGTTGAGTGAATCAATAGCTGATATTTTATTTCCATGAAATTATAGATTTGTGACTGATTGGTGTGGATTCACAAAATCACAAGGTTGGAAGAGACCTTCAAGATCATTGAGTCCAACCCATGCCCTAACACCTCAACTAAACCATGGCATTGAGTGCCACATCCAATCTTTTTTTAAACACATCCAGGGATGGTGACTCCACCACCTCCCTGGGCAGATGATTCCAGTGCTCGATCACGCTTTCAGTAAAAAACTTTTTCCTAACATCTAACTAAATTTCCCTTGGCCCTGCTTACAAATGATTACTTTTATGACTAGGAATGATTACCTTTATGTGGATGGGATATCTGCCTGTGTCCACCTGAAACAGACCACCAAAAACGATCTTTATTTCCTCGATTCACACCTGTGCTGCAGCTGGGAGTGCCACGTTGAGAATTCTGTGTTGTGTCTAGAAGTGCAGCAGGGTTTGGGGGTGGTGCTGGAAGTGACCCCATTTCCCTTGGCAGCCTGCAGCAGTGGCCACTGGGGCCAGGACTGCGCCAACTCCTGCGCCTGCGACGGCGGCGACGGCGGCTGCGACCCCACCACGGGCACCTGCTCCTGCCAGCCGGGATTCACCGGGCAGCACTGCCAGCTCCGTAAGTGCCCAGCTCCCCAGCACGTGGAACTCCCAAACCCCAGCTCTGGAAGTTGTGTTTTCCTGGTCATTCCCTGCAGGAACGCTCCCAAGCTGTTCCACCCCCGCTCTGCCCCGCGCTGCGCTCGCGCGTTTCACCAGGGTTAGATGCTTTCCCTAATTTGATTTCCAGAAAAGGTATTTTCAGCCTTGTTTTGGACCCAGCAGCTATTTTTAATGTTAGGATTTTATGAGAAGGATAGGATTGATGTATATTTGGGTTGTGGCATAAGAGTTTCCATATTGGTTTTATTTATTCAGTTTTAGGGCAGCACTTACCCTTCTTAGATCTCTATTTCAGGTCAGGCATGTAGAAATACTTCCTATGTACATAACAGAAGAAAAAAATGGAATATTTGGGAGTCCTGTATTTATTAACAACAAAAATGTGCAATGGTCTTATCAGAGGCCCATGACCCTCACCTTAACACTCACTTCTAACTGAGGTCAGTAGCAGATGCTTCAAGCATATGAAAACAGGCTCACAGTCAGTTCCTCATATGCCTCCCCAGGTACCATCAATTTCTCATTCAGGAGCTTCTGAAGACAGAAGCAATATCTCTAAATTTAATACTGCTTGATTTTTTTTCCAATTAATGTGCCTATTTTCTTTTTCATTTCATGCAAGCATTTGGAATCCACTTCATCTTGTGGCAGTAAGTTGCGTAGTTAAGCTGCTATTACTATTATTATTGATTATATTGATGTTGTTAAATAAAATAAACATTTTATCTACTAGTTTAACAATCTTACAGTAGCACAGATGTAGCTACCAGAATCTCAGTAGCGTGGGCAGGATTAACTGCTGGTGTCACACAGAAATGTCAAAACAATTAATCTGGAACCGTGACCTAAGACAAGAAAGCCTGGAGAGTTGATCTCGCAGCCCTTGTTGCTGTTGGCACAGAGGGACTGGAAGGACAGTGTGTGGGGAGGACCAGCTCCCAGAGAAGGAGCTGCCAGCTCTGCTTCTCTTTCTCTCTTGATCTCTCTCAAAATAGCATCTCTGCAGAGAGAGAGTGGCCAAATACTGCTTATAATCCTCGCTGGGAAGGGAATCAGCCAAGCCATCACCACTGACAAAACATCTAGCAGCCCCTGAAGTTCTTTCTGTGGGCTTTCTGTTCTATTCCGTCTGCTTTTTACCCTCTTCTGTGTGTATGTGTATATATATGTTTAAAATTGCACATATCTCTGCGTGTGTGTGTGCATGCACACAAGATGAGGGAAACCATAATTCTCCTCATAATTTCGTGCTGCCTTGGAGGTGAAATCTTCACTATCCCTGGATATTTCCTCTGCTCCCCAGGCATCCCTACCGTCTCCCTGCAGGTTGGGCTCCTTCCCCCTGGCAGGAGCTCAGGTTGTCTGTCGGGGTGGCTGGATCCTGACACGCATCACAGCAGTCTGTGCTTGCTGCAGCAGGGGCAGATTCCCTGTGCTGTGGACTGTGAAATCATTTGTGAAGTGCTCTGACCCTTTGCCATCACCTTGAAAAGCCTCAGCTCTGGGCTAAACACCGTGGGTCTGACAGGAGCTCTGCTGAGAGCCCTGCACCTCTTGCTGCACTGCAGCACCATTTCCCTTGCACAGATTCTCTGACTGAAATTTCACCTGAAAATGAAACATGGAGAAGCTTTTGAGGCACAAGTGCATCTCTGTGTGTTTGTTAAACAGTGATGTGCAGCTTTGGGAAGAGGAAGGGATTTCACCTGTAAGTGCAAAAAAAAATTGATTCTAACACACTTATATTTAAACAACATCCCATTTTTGACTCTTTGAAAGCAAATAAGCATTTAAGGTACCTTGCTCATCTCCCATCCCAACTCCTCTGTAAGACAAACAGTTGGCAGAGTCACTGAGTTGCAGGAGCACCTAAATTCATGCCAGCTCCAATCACTGCCCACCCATGGCACCAAACAAACAACACCAAACCCACCCTCCTATTCCAGACATGGAGCTGTCTTTGAGAACTCTCGTTTTCTGTTCTCTTTGATTTCTTCCAGATTGCCTGAAAATCACTTTGTTGCTGTAAATGCTAAAATCATGGGCTTCTAGAAGAGGTCTGGCAATAATCTCCATAACTCATTTAGAGGGATGTTCACAAGACCTTCAAACATAAGTAGAGGCCTTGTATTTAGCCAAGTCTATCTCTGTGTTTCAGCCTGTCCAAAATATCCAATGTGAATTAGGCAACTGGCCCTGTTCTTAATTGATTTTCCTATAATCCTGGAAGAAATTATTTTCATTCTCAAATGTTTTCTTTCTTCTAATGGTGAGTACCATGCAAATCTTTTAAAACTCCTCACATTAACTGCTGTGGAAATGTAATTGTTAATCTGTCCCCCAGATGTAATGTTTTCTCTTGAATTTTTCAAAGCAGAGCATGCAAGTAGAGTGTGCAGCATTCAATTTGGAGCTTTGTGAAGAAAACCAACACATTTTGTATTTTCTCCAGCTTTCTGGGGAAAGAGGATTTGCAGGAAAACAGAGGAGCTTCTCCCCTCCCAGTTGATGAAGTCCCAGAGGGGATGTGCACATAAGTAACTCCAGACCAGTGGGCAAAGTGTCATCATGCAGAACCTGTGAAGTCTCGGGATTTGCAATAGAAGATGTTCGTTTTCTGTGCAGAATTTAGTCTTTCAGCACTCTGGAATTTTTCTAAAATAGATCTTAAATGTAGCCCAACTTACCTGAGTCTCAAGGGGAACACTCAAATCTTAGTTTTTAAGCTGTTAACTTTACGCCTTGATTTTTTGGGAGATTGTCAGATTTTCCACATATGTAAAAATTCCCCATTGATCCCTGATCTGCTCTGGCATTAACCCATCATCTGGTTGTGATTCCTGTGCTGCAGGGTGCCCTGAGGGGAGCTTTGGCCCGGGCTGTGAGTCCAGCTGTCAGTGCCAGAACGGAGCTGCCTGTGACCACGTCAGCGGAGCCTGCACCTGCACAGCGGGCTGGACAGGAACCTTTTGTGAAAGAGGTACTGCTGCTCCCCCTGGTCCCTTTAGGATTCATGGAGAATTTGCTTTGGTTTTTATTCAGAGAGCAGGTTTTAAAATTGACAGCGTTGGATCTAAATGAACCATTGAACTTTATTGGAAGCCAATACCAATGTGAGCTCCCCTCCGAACTCAGCAGAGCATCATGCTGGGTGCCAAATGTTGGGCACGTGTTTTCACATGGTTAAAATTATATATATGTGTAAGGCTTCTGCTGTATCACATCTTTATGAAGACTCCTTTCAGGCTATAGTCCCACTATTTGAGCACTGAGCAGGGAGATGCTTGTTCAGCCTTATGCTTGCTTGTATCTAGTGCCTCCCTGAAGCGATTTCAAGAAAAACATGGATGTGTGCATCATCCCTGTGGAACTCTTTAAGAACAGATTCACTTCTAACTTAAATAAATCCAATTCTATTCTATCCAGTCTTCTATTACCTAGTCATTTGGTAAAGTGTTGGAAAAGTTGGACTGGATTCTTTAGCTACATTAAGGTGAGTCAGTCTGTGGCATTATCACAGGAGGTTGCTGTCGTGCTGCATCATTTTGCAGATTTTTTGTATAAAAAATACAAGAGAAACAACACAGGGCCATTCAGGCACTGGGGAAGTTAAGTGTAGGTGACTGAAGATTCTGCAAATTATGGTACTTGAACCATTTTGCATGGTACATTTCCATTTTGCATGGAAAGCAGCTTTATCAGCCAGTTTCAGCAGCGAGGATCGAGGGAAGTGGCAGCACTCGCAGGCAGCTGCTGCCCTCTCTTGGGAAGGAAGATGCTCCACAGCCTGACCAGGAATGTGGCAAGGCACCCACTGGTTGGAGTTGATATTGCTTGTTGTTTCCCTCTCATTCTTACCAAGGATTATTATACAAAAGATTCTTTCCAAGATTCTGCTGCAAATTGCACCTCATAATTCATGGTATCTCCACTATGTCCCTTTCTAATATAATTTAGCTGAAATCTGTTTTCCTAAACCTCCTAATATTTTTTTAATCTTAGTATTTTTATTGGGAAAAAAATGAGGCAGGTATCTGTGTTGTGTAAATCTCTTCATTCCAGCAGGAATGATAATGGGAACCAAGAGGCTTTGCCAGAATAGGTGTGAGGAATATGGAGAAGACTGGGTGATTCTATTGATGGGGGGAAAAAAAAGAACAAATCTCAGCTTCCAAATCAGTCATGTTGGACATTTTTATCTTTTTCTAATTCCTGAAAGAAGATAGTGGAGGGGAGAGTGAAATGTAGTGCTTTGTAAAGCACCGTTTTAAGCATGTTTTCTCTCAAGAAGGCAGAGTGTTTGCTCTCAACTGACCTGGGTTACCTCTTAACTTAGGAAGTTTTAACCAGAACAGTTTGGCAGCTTCCAAAAGACGCCGAGGGAGGAAAACATGTGGGTGGTTTGCCCTTGGTAGACCCTTCTTGGCACCTTCTCTCGGAGGAGCTGCAGCGCTTCTGTTTCGAGTGACTGGGAGACTGGCAGGGTTTCCTTCTGGCAGGGATGTGCTTTTTGCCGTCCTCTTGGCAATCCACCCACGCTGGCCAGGCTCTGTGCCTTGCAGGCAGGAATTCACATCGAGCCCTGGCGCTGCAGAGTTGCCTTGGACTTCAAACATCCTGCTGATGCCTCAGCCCGTGGCTGGGAAGGACTTCTCTGACATCACAGAAATGTTGAAACTGAGAATTTTGCAGCCTTCAAAGTCCTCGGAGAAGACAGTCTCTGACAAAATCTGATCTTGATTGATATTAATAATTAATATTACCCCTGTACAGCAGAGTTTGAACCTGTAGCCATTGCTTTTGGTGTTGTGCATTGTGGCAGCACAGGATCTGGATTCAAGATGAGGCTGCAGAAATCCCAAAATTTGCCATCAGATTTTTGGTTTTCATTTGGGAAAACTTTCTTTCCATTTTGGTGGGAAGCTGCTGGTTTTTTTTCATTAATTTGCTACCCTCACTATGAATTAAGGCCTCATAGGTACCAGCCCCTGTTGCGAAACACCACTTCAGTGACCATTTCCAATCATATTTGCCACAAATTTCCATAGTCTCTTATTAATATTTATTAGAAATGTTAATGCAATTTTAGTCCTTGGTGAGTCTCAATCTACCTATATTATCTGTCAGTAACACAGATAACATCCAAACCCACACCATCATCATCATCACCCACCAGCACAGGACAGTTTCCAAGCTCACCCATAGCAGGAGACACTTTTGCTCCAGGGCTGCTGTTTCACGAGACCTTGCTGTGAATTATTCAGGAGCTGACTGAACTTCTGTGCTCTGAGCCACAGGATGCTGACAAAAGACCTCACACTCTTCAAAGTACTTTTGTCTGTCCATCAGCATCTCAGTTCTGCTCTGCCCTCAGTCACCTTTGATCAGCTGCTCTTCATCTGGTACCACTCAATGGAACTGCTGCCTCTGCAGTTGTGCTGTGGTCACATATAATAATGATGGGGAAGAATAAAGCTATCAAGATAGTCTCTGAAAGAAAATTAGACGTTTCTTGAAAGTCATACCTGCTCCATCTTTCAGCCCTGCTCAGTGCTTTGTGAAAATGAACCTTGTGAATCTTGTGATTCTTTCAAAGGAGTTTCAAAAGCAGCAAAACTGTTTCAGTTGCAGAGAAGGTAACGATTGCAAATGAGGCTGAAAACAAAATAATCTACAAAGAAATGATTTCAGTCTTTGAGAGCAATCTAGGAAAGGCTTCCTTTGAATTTTCTTGAAAGCAGCAAGTGATACAAACGGAACACTGATGAAATAATGTATGTTTCTTCACAAGGTCTCGCATTACCAAAGGAAAATGAATCATTTTTGGTGGATGTTGCTAGCAGTGCCATCAGCCAGCTTCCATACCTGAGTGGAGAATGTTATGTGCTTGGGCAGAAGGTGCCAGAGGGACACAGGGAGTTCTGTCTGTTCCTGAACTCAAGCAACAGTCAATGCCTCTGCTTTCCTGGGCTCTGCAAGGGCAGGGATCACAGCAAAGGCGACTTTGTAAGTCTTTTCTGTCCTGTTTGAGCACAGACAACCTAAGTATCATCTTCTCCAGAAAAATGCTTCTGTGTTCACCCACTGCTGCAGGACTGAGGTTATAATGCAATTCTAGCTAAACAGGTGAGGCAAAAAAGCCCAACGAAAAACAATCCCAACCCCAAAACCAGTCATTATTGTGATAAATAGATAAATATATCAATGTTTCTCTAACTAAATGTAAGAATCTGCCACGCAGGAAGCCTGAGCCATGGGCTCCTGACAAACCCAGAGGAATTCAGGTGTGTCTTGATTCCCCAGCCACACTCACAGCTCTGTTACAGATGCACCAAGTGAGCTGGGACACCCTGCCCTGCACCAGAGCTGCTCCACTCCTCTTTGGCAAGGCAATTGTTGTAATTGATTTAATTCTGTCAAGTGCTGAGCATCTGCTGCTCCCACTTTGAAGGCTGCAATTGCCTTCCCTGCACTGTAATTTTGTTTAATTCCCTTCCCCGCTGCTCTCTGGTATGTGCTGTATGACCCACGGCTTGTGTCCAGTTTTGGGATCAGGCCAACAGAAGAATTACCCAGTTCATTGATTCATCTGTCTGAATATCCCAAAATGCCAGACAATTAGTGCACTAACTGGAGGCAGCAGGAGTCTCAGAGCATTACTACAATATATTTATTAATTGATGCATTAATAATAACAACGTATCACCCTTGTGGAGCACAGAACTTGGCTTTTGCATCTGAACTGCTGCGGGATCAGCACTGCCAGAAGATGGACAGACTGGACTCTTCCCTTGGGATTTCAGCAGTTAATCATTACCATGAAGGAGGCCAGCAAGATTGCTGTTTTGCTGAGATAAAAGGGGAAAATGAGCACACTGCACGCCGAGGAATAGCTGACAAGGCTGTGCAGCCCCTGTGTTAAAGAAGAACTTTGTCAGCCTTTGAAGTAACTGAGAGTTCAGCAGGAGGAGCCCATTCTTGTGCTGTGCCATAGCTGCCACTGAAGCAGAGTAAATGGGGGATAGCAGATTAAACCTCACCACGGTGGCTTTTCCTTGCACGTTGATATCAGCTCTCTTCTGGTGAGCGCTGAGCAGAGGCTGATGGATGCTCTATTGTCATGAAGCGTTTTCCTGAGGCAGCACAAACCTGGGAAGGGCAGCAGGTTTCCCTCTTGTTTGCCAGGGAAGAAGCTGCAGCCTGGACAGGACAGAGGGAAGAGCAGCCTTTTGATTTTGAGTGGATGAAACAACCATGTGTAGTCACAGGCTGAGCAGCAGAGCAGCCAAAGCAGATGTTCAGTGTTTTACACTGTCACTGTATGCTGGTTCAGGTTTTTCCTAAAGCTACAGATACAGAATTCCCTCCACTTATAGCCAAAGCAGCCAGCAGTGCACACGGCTGGAGAACTAAATTTGCATCTGTGGAAGAGGCACTGTGATAGACTGGCACAAAAAGCCTGGGCATGAAGCAGCCCCAGGGCACAAAGAAGGGACAGAAGAGTCCAACAGTGGAAGATGCACATGGGGAACTCACTGGAAAGGCCAGGCAGATGATCTTTAAGGTCCCTTTCAACATAAAGCAGTCTTTGATGACACCAGTGTTACTCTGACCTGGTGGAGAGCTGTGAGTTAGTGTGGAGGGTTGTTGGTCAGTGTAGATGATGATGATAATCATTGTAAGATTTCCTTGAAAATCCAGTCATTCTGATTCCATGGTAGAAGTGTGAGGATTGGATTTTAAATATAAGTTTATATTGAACAAGGAGGACAAAGAGCTAAGTTTTACTGAACTACTGCTTATTTCATGAGCACCATCACTCCTGAGGTTGATTCAGGGATTCTGTGAAAAGAATGATGTACAGTTGTGTATCTAACAAATCTTTGTTATTACTTAGTGTAACATAATATACTCTACTGAGTGACATAATTTATGCACTTATATAAACTAAACACACAGGGGTTAAATTAAGGCTACATAGTTCTCTATGTAGAGATATTTTTAAACTCTGCATTTATATCTATTTATATTTTTAAAGTCTGCATAGCAGCCTTAGTGTTCTTGTAATGCAGAATTTGGGGTATGATGTGGCCCACTGACAAACACTGATCCTTACTTTCAGTGCTGTTGGCACTGGTGCAGATAAAAATTGAATCCATGGGGCTGCTCTTCCTTAGTCCAGGTTCAGTTCCAGATGTAGATGCAGAGCCCCTTCAGCCCCCTGGGGTTGTTTTGCTACGTTTAATTTGTTTTGGTTTTCTCTACTCATTCACTTTGCCAGTTTTTCATTTCAGCGCTGAACTGCACCACTGTGGCTTGGGTTCTTGTTAAAGAATCTTTAGTAAAGTGTCAGGACAGTAAATGGGAGCAGAAGTTTTGCATTTCCAAAGGGAGGCAGGTCAGCAGGGATGGCCCTGGAGTCTTGTATTATGTTGGATTATTTGCTCTGTCCATTACAGAGGCACAAGGAACCGCTTGTGTGAACCCAGCTCCGTTCTCTCACTTGTTTTATGGCTTTTCAATATTCTCAGCCCTGTTTTCCTGTGCAGAAATCTGTTGCTTGTGTAAAAGGGTCGCATTTTTCCAAGATGCATGCAGCAGAACTGGGCAGGCTTAACCCTTGATGCTACTACAGTTCTTAAGCATCTGTGAAAAGATGAGATGGAGTTTATTCAGAAAAAAAAAAACGAAGCAGGAACTATGCTAAAAATGAATGTTTTGCATTTCCAGCTTGTCCAGACGGATTCTTTGGGATTGACTGCCACCAGGTGTGCAAGTGCAAGAATGCTGCTGGCTGTGACCACGTGCTGGGCTCCTGCCACTGCCTCCCAGGATGGCTGGGGGAGAGCTGCGAGCAGCGTACGTACCCCCCTGTCCCAAACCCCAAACCTCCTCGGGAATGGGGATAATCCCGGACAGGGTAAACCTTCAGACAGGTCACCTTCCTTCCCAAAGATGCCAAAAAAGGGAACCATTTTTGGTGGCTGTGTAAAATCATCAGCTCTTTTTAATTTATTTTTTTTTAACTCGTCAAACATGATGAGCATCAGGTTTTAAATAGCAGAGCCATCTCCTGCCATATGACAACTCCCTGCTTTTTTATTTTTGTGTGACATTAAGAGATGAAATGTTGTGTATCTGTTTCTGGTGTATCTCATCTAATTGTCAATTATAAAGTGTCAGATTACAAATGCACAAGGTGGAAAAATCAGAGCTGTAACTATTTTGTTATTTGAAGATGACAAAATAATTTTTAAAATAATTATTAGAAAAGTTATTTGGTTTAAAATAAATGTCAGCTTCCTAGATGTTCCTAAGTATGGATTATGCCACAATCTTTAAGCTAACAAGGTGCTTGTGTGTATACAGATATATAAAATTGGCTATTCTGAGAAATTTTTCACTGCATTTCATGGGAAATTATGTTATTTTCTTTAGCTGCGTGGTTCTGTATATGGAGATCACTGAGCCTCCTTGCACAGTTTAGCAAATAAGTGGGGTTTTTTTAAGATTTTCAGGTTTTAGCTTCTCAACTTCCTTGTTTTCCTTTAGAATGATGTCATGGTCTAAGCTTCCTTTTGAAAATATGAGTGCTGTCTGCAGGACTGGAGAGCAGAGCTGGGCTCCAGGGCAGCTCCACAACGAGCCAGCTCTGTTGTTCTGAAGGGAACACTTCTTTAATCCATAGGTCATGGCTTTCTGCAATAGAAAAGTGATTTAATTTAGAAAATAGAGAGAAATGTGGCTTGTATTGAGGCAATGTTGTTCTCCAGCCATACACTATTTTATCATCAGCCCTGTTTGAGGTCAGTGCTTGCTCTCCACGATATTTTCCCCTCATTTTCCCCCACCACTCGACAGCACATCTTCTGCAGGCTTCTCCTGCAGAATCTCCTGCTCTTTTGTTTACAGGTAGGTCAATTCTGCTGAATCTTCCCAATTTCAGACACTTTTCCTAACATCCCACTGCAGTTTTTTTGCCTCCTCATGCCCTCCCACAGGAACACTTGTCTCTGCATCTCCCACCACCTGAAGATGCTGATGGTACACAGCCTTTGAGTGTAGATTAATGGAGTGAGCACAGAACAAAAGTAGACCAGAGTCACTTACCCACCCCACAGATCAGAAGAGGTGCTGCTGAACAGATACAATATTTGATTCTTGGTCACAGCCCATTTTTACTGTTGAGCCACAGCATTGGTAATGTGTCACCTTGCCCCTTCCCCAGTCCTTAGCATTAGGCATGGGAAACTTTGCTACGTATTTCCTTGAATTCAATTAAGAAATGCAACTCTTTCTTCATGGCCTCTGGTTCCCTGCTCTACTCACATTAGGGAAAAACCCTGTTTATTATCTTATGCCAGAGCCATTAGAGCTTTGTGCTGGGTTGATTTTTTCCTCCTGCTGGTGAAGGTGCCAAAGCCCCCAAGGCCTCTGAGAGTGAGAGGTCAGTTACCAGTGCAGGGTGTCTCCTCCTTTTCTCTTGGCTAAGTGAGGGATCTTCATTTTGATTTTACAACTGGACCTCATCCACGCTGCTCCAGAGCTGCTCAGATCAAGGCAGCTAGGGGTGGGAGACAGCTCAGCACTCCCCATGCTCCCAGGGTGTTTAATATTCACCTTGCCTGTTCCTGGGACCCGCCAGCTCCAGCAGCTGGAAGGACAGCACTCGTGTGGAAGTAATCAGATTGCAGGAAATGTGCTGGAGGATATTGAGGAATAATTTTGGCATCATGGGATTTGAATTGATCCTAAGCCAGCCATGCAGTGAGTTTTATACTCTGCTATCTAATTACAGGCAATACGGACAGTGATGCCTTTTGTTGAAGCTGCCTAATGCTTTCCATTACCAGGCCGTGGGTTTCAGTTGTTTGAAAATGGATTATGTTAATCTGGGGTGAAATCTGCCAAGCAAGCTCTGTCTCAGCTTCAGTTTGTGCTCGGAGATTTTATTTGGGGATTTTTTTGAGTGTCCACCTGAGGTATTTTAAGTTTCCAAGAAAGAGGCTTAGGAAAAGTATGTTGCCTATTCTTTTTTTTTTTTTGCTTTTATTATTTTGTTTTGTTTTAATGAACTGTTTCACTGAGTGCTGTGATACCTCAGTGATACAGAACTGAGGACCTGACATTTGTCATTTGTGATAGAGATGTAATCCTCCATCCCTGAAAGTGTTCAAGGCCAGGTTGGATGGAAGGAGCAGCCTGATGTAGTAGTGGCATCCCTGTTCATCACAGGGGGTTTGGAAATCGATGATCTTTAGGGCCCCTTCCAACCCAAACCATTCTGATTCACTGCAAATTCATCCAAAGTTTACAAACTTAAAAAACCCAACCAAATCCTCCAAAAATCTCATGCTGCATATGGTCTGTAGCAGATGTACACAATTCAACATCTGAATTTTGCCTTAATTCTGTCAGTACTAGACATGCCTCTTTCTGGAGCTGTTGGAGCTCAGCAGAATCTTCACTGAAGTGGCTCCTTGTGCTTAAAAAGAGACCACACTGGTTTGAAAAATAAATTACTACAGAAAAATTTGCTCGGCCAGAGGCACTGATAACAGGGGTTTGACATTTCATGGTGTGTGAGCACTTGAATTTGCAAATTCCCTGTTCTTTTAAAGGTAAAGCTTCATTTTGTGGAGAATAATCCACAGAAGTCACTTGAAATCAAAGAAACTGGTCACCCTATAGAACATTAGATCCCATCATTTTTCCTGGGCTCCTGGGCACTTTTGATGGCTGTTGACTTCTAGTCTGGAAGGAAAGTCTCCAGTTTCATATGTTCCTTACTCTGCATGCAAACAGGGATTTTAAAGACTGCAAACAAATAAATCCTCCTCTTGCAGAGGAAAGACACCAAGAGAAAAATTTTGAACCAGGAAGAAATCTATTAATTTAAACCTTTGGATTAAGTTATCCCATTGTGAAGAAAGAAAAGGCCCACGGATATTTGTACATTCAGTTGTGGAACTCTATGAAATAGCTCCAGTATATAACTTTTTTCCTTAATCTTCAGAAAAGTACTTTGAAAATCAGGATTGTCCCACCAGGAAGCAAAAAAAAACATTTGTGTCTACCCAATAAACAAGTTAAAATTTTCTTCTCCAGAGATTTCTGCTTTCTTACCAGAAATTTCATTGAAACACTCTATTGTCATTTGGTAAGTGTAACAAACTTTGCACACGTACTCCAAAAACCTCACACAATCCACTGCTAACCAGTCAGGGGATCTGGTGATGAGCTGGTTTTTCCTTTGGCTTGGTTGTGCTATAGTTCTGGTCTGTATTGTGGAAATATTTAGTTCTGCTCCCAAAGACCGAGCCAGAGCTCTGTAGATGTGTTGAACTTTTCGCTTGGCAACCAAACTTCATTTGCAGAACAAACTTTTAGCTGTGATGGGACTGAGCTCCTGCTCTTTCTTGTGGTTTCAACATGGACGGGGTCCAAGCAATGACAAGAACGAGCAGTGTGGAAAAGAAGTCCTGGGAGAAATGGTGTCTGAGAACCAGGCTGGGAAGCTGGAAGCCCTCAGATGGGGAGAAAAGGGCTGGGAATGGGTCAGAGACTGTCAGCCAAGTTCACCTCCAAGATCAAGGTGGTTTCACACCTCTCTTCTGTCCCCAGGGACTTGCTCTCCCACAGCACTGCATCATGTTCACCGACACCCTGAAAGGCAGAGAGGTTTGGTGAAAATTCACTGTTTGACTGTGAAACATGGAAGATGTCACATTCAACGAGTGCTGGACACTCTCCTGCATCAGGGATCCAGGCTTTTTCTGCCTCTCCAGTGCATGCCAGAAGTGCTGCAAGGATGAGAGGCTCTGACAAGAGCCCTGCAATGCAGTACAGAAACCATGCAAGGAAGCAATCCAGCTCCATCAACCCCTCTTGTATCATTTTGGATGCTATCTGAAGAAAACAGGGTAGCAGAACTGTCTGTTTGCCACCATTCAAAGCTATCCAAATCTTCAATGCAATGGAGACTTCAGGAATTTTATCACTGCCATTTTTCACAGGCAGCAGCACTGAAAGCAGAGCATTTGCTTGCGAGATGACTGCGTTAAGTTTTCACCTGGGAGCCAGCTGCTTAACCAAACTCATTGAAAATATCACCCCTCTCTGACCAAAAAATGAGAGTCTGAGTGAGCAGAGGCACCCAGCTGTGAAAAATGAACACTGAAAACAATGAAGTTGTCAGTTCTCTTACCAGGATGCAAATAAATACCGAGGCTGTCAGGCTGGCAGTTCTGCTGGACCATTAGTTTAACACAAAGACGTTCTGCACAGCAGGGGATGACAGCTGATCCATCACCCCCAGTGATCCAGCCCCTTGATAGAAACCTCTTCAGAATGGGCTATGATACATATTTTTAACCCACATTATTATGTTAGGCCTTCATAAGACACATTATCTCTAGACTGTGAGTGTTGCAAAGCAGTTTCAGTTTATATGATCTTAATTTTTAGAGTATTTTTTTAATGCCTTTTGCAGTTTATATATTGGCAGGTATTGTGGACTTAGCAGTGCTGAGTTAACAGTTGAACCTGATGATCTTAAAGGTCTTTTCAAGCCTAAATGATTCTATTATTGCTTCTAGAGTCAGGCATGATTATTATATGGAGTTTTATATATATATTTCCAGGGATGGTGAAGTCACCATTCCTTGAAGTGTTCAAAACATGAGTAGACACAGCACTGTGTGATTTGGTTTAAGGATCATCATGGTATTTGGCCAAAGGTTGGACTGATGATCTTGAAGATCTTTTCCAACCTTAATGGTTCTGTGTTCTGTATGTACTTAGGCACCGTTATGATGTGTAAAGTGTCATTGGAGCACAGCTCCAACCTGATGTCCCTGGTACTGCATTGTGTCTCACGCTTGCTCTGTGCTTCCTTGGATGTTTCCTGATGGGATTTTATGGAATTTTGTCTTGCAGCCTGCCAGGGGAACAGCTATGGGCCAGGCTGCAGGAACGCTTGTCACTGTCACAACGGAGCTCGCTGTCACCACGTAACTGGGATATGCCTTTGTAGTCCAGGCTGGAAAGGAGCCACCTGCCAAGAAGGTACAGTTGGAAATTCAACCCTCTGCCTATGGATTATAGGAGGGAAAAATAAAACCTGTGTTTGGGGAAAGCTCAGTGGTGTTTCAGCTCTCAGCTCATTGCCCTGTGTTGTCATTGGGTTTGGATCCACAGTGACGTGAATTGCTCCATTAAATTAATCCATGACACTGTGTTGTAGGATTCTAGTGTGCACAGGGCAGAGGGGTGAAACAGCCATAAACTGGAAAGAGAGCTGATTTTGAAGGCTGATGAAGGGAGAAAAGGTCCATAAAACTCCCAATTATGACGCTGAAATGAAGCTCTGTTTCTTTTCTATGGGCTGCTTTACTGTCCCATGCACCAGACTGATCCTCGGCATTACCTTGTGCTGTTCCAGACAGAGCCTAAATCCAGAACATGTGAAAGGCATTGAGCCTTCCAGCCTTGGCAATCAGACCCATACGTGAGGCTTAAACACAAGCCCAGCTCCACAGAGCCTTAAGAAGAGGCTGGCAAAGAAAGGCTGCACTGCACATCCTAATCCATGCACCCCAGGCAGTAGGAAAAGTCTGTCCATCCCCATTGCAGAAGCTCCTTGTTCTGTGCCTTCCCCACGAGGTCCCTGGGGTGGCAGCAGTCCATGGAATGCTGTGGGTGCCCCTGGGTGAGCAGGGGCTTGGAGTCAGAACCTCCACTCAGACTCTGCCCTTCAGCATCCCAAGAGGATTGCTAGGAAAAGGGGATGAAAGCTGGCAGGGGTAGAGTGGTATTTAAATTTAGCACATTCCCCTTTTAAAACCTGCTGTGAAGAGGCCTTTCCATGGAGGATATAAAATTGAGAAGGCACCAAACTGCTCTTGATGACATGTTAGGCATGACCTAAATTTTTGTGTTGTCCAAAGGCCACAAATACAAAACCAAAATAACAGTTACAAAAACTTTCAAACACACCTTTTCTCTTTAAATACATGTTTGGGGATTTCTTTTCTCTTTGAAGTGAGGAGGTAGAATAATTGTGAGGCTTGAGGAGCCATCCTCTGGTACCTATGCTTTTCCAAAGTGAGAGCTTGCCCCTTTTTCTGTCTTAAAGAGGTGTCACTCTGGCACATAGCAGAGGTGTGTGTTTTTTTTGCCAAAAAATTAGATTCTATCCATAGAAAGTGGTTGTGATAGGAATTTATAGACTTGCCTAATTAAAATTAGGTAAATGGTGAAGTGTCATCAGCCAGCTGTGGGCAGCAGGATCAGTTAGAGGAGCTGTAATTTTAAGAGGACTGTGCAAAGAAATTCGGAGAACAGGGAAATCAAGAGCTGCATTCCCTAGTGCTGAGAAAGCTGGAAGGAAACAAAAATTGGGTTTTGTAGGTACAAAAGTCTCAAGGTTATTTGGTGGGTCACTAATTCACTTCATCACCTACTTTGTTCACTGTTTGTACAATAGTCTGAATAATTCCCTATTGGTTGTGTCCCTATTTCTGTTTGGTTGTACCTCCCACAGCATCTTCTAGGGCCAGATGGGCTGTAAGGTGGGAGAGGTGGTGCTGAACCTGTTTCCTTTTCCTACAATTCCTGATGGAAGGTTTTCCCTGCCTCCCTTTGCAGCCTGTCCCCGTGGGTGGTATGGAGCAAACTGCCTGCAGCGCTGCCTCTGCCACGGCCAGGCCACCTGTGACCCTGTGAGCGGCCAGTGCCAGTGTCCCCAGGGCTGGACAGGGACAGCCTGTGAGCTGGGTGAGTCTCACCACCTCCTCCACCCCTCCAGCACCTCAGCCAGTCACTCTGAAAGGAAGGTCAGTTGTGTTGGGGTCTGGTTTGAGACAACCCAGAGGAAAAAGGAGGCAGAAGGATGGAAAACACCAGGTGGGGATGAGTTAAACTGGGGTTGTTCAGTCAGAAATGAAAAGGCTGAGGGGAGACATGGTATTGGTACGTGAACATATAACATATCCATAGTGCTGGAAACTTGCTGAGCAGAGGAGAGGAATAAGCTATTCTCTGTCCCTTGGGAACTGGGCAGATAGGTAATGAGCTCCATTTAAGGAGAAGAAAAGAAATGCTAAAAGAGGAAAATGGTGTATTTCTAGAGAATTTTGCCAAAGGAGGCATCAAAATTCCCTTCACTGAAGGTTTTTAGGCCCAGTTTAGGTGGCTTATCATATTGCAGAGGCATGAGGGTGTTCCTGCTGGGGTTGCTCCAGCCTGGCCCCCCATCAGCCTCCCCCATCCCGTTTCAGAGTGTGGGGCTGGGCAGTTCGGAGAGGGCTGTGAGCAGAACTGCAGCTGCCAGCATGGGGAGTGTGAGCAGAACTCAGGGAAATGCCTCTGCCGTGCTGGCTGGACCGGGGACCGCTGTGATGTTGGTAAGGGCAGCTCCTTCTGCAAATCCTTCATTTTAACCATCTGCCATTTCTGCCAGTTTTCTATTGTCTTTCTTAAATTCCCAGTATTCTGCAGGCCAGTCAGGATTTATGCCCTCTCACCCCATCTCAGACCCACAGGCAAGTCTCTCCCCACCCATGCCCTTGTCCAAACTTATCTCCTCCTACATCTGTTCCCTGCCTGCTAAGAAAATGAAGGTATTGCTCTGCCTTATGCACAAAAGCAAGAACACATGAAAGGGAGGGAGTTTTAAGGAGAATTTTCCAGATGAGCCACCTGCTGCTCATCTCTGTGGGTCATTGAGGGGAGCTCAGCAAACTGGACTTTGATGGTTCAGATAGTTCGGATCTGGCACATGACCCACATTTGACGCAGCTGTTTGGCACACTTAGAGCCATCTGAATCCCTGAAATAGGGATTAAATCTCATACAAAGGTGACTTAAAGCATGCTTTCAGCTCAGCCACTGAGGTGCTGTGCTTTTAGCGAGCCACAAGCAGCTTTCTGAGGTCTCCTTAGGCGCTGAGGACTCTCAAAGCCTCACCACCAGTGCAACCTGTCAAACCTTCTCAGTGCCCACGTCCCTTCCTTTTTGGTCACTTTGCAGAGACCTGGGAGGTTCTGGGCACAGTTCCCACTGCTCAAAAAGCTGTTCCTGTGTGCATCAAAGCAAACAGCATCACCCTCTCCATGGACCCCATCTGGATTCACACTCCAAGCTGTGACTTTGCAAGCTTTCCTGTGCACACTCATAAGCAGCCAGCGTTAAATGCTTCTAATGTTTTTAATATCTTCACTGATGTTTTCTGGCCACACACTCAGCTAAATATCCTCGTGAGCAGGAGCCCAGCAAGGAGGATCCTGGCTGATGGCCAGTGGAGGCTGCTCCCAGGCCAGCAGGTAGAACATGGCTCTCTCTGCTTGTCCCCAGCCTGTCCCCGGGGATTTTTCGGCACGGGCTGCGAGGAGCGGTGTGACTGCGCCCACGGCTGGTCCTGCCACCCCCGGACTGGAGCGTGTCACTGCGAGACGGGGTGGCGAGGGCGGCACTGTGACAAACGTGAGTAGGGCTGGCAGCTGGCCTTGGGCTGGGCCGGCAGCTGGCCCTGGGCCGCGCGTTCCCCCCAAAAACCCCGAGGCCGTGCCTGGATATTTTCATGGCCCCGTTCCATGGGGTCGGGCTGGAGGTGTTCTCAGGGATGGGTGTGTGGAGTGGGTGGCTTTGTCCCGTGCTGCTGGCCCTGACAGGGTTGGTGTCCCCCTGCAGCCTGCCTGCCGGGCCGCTATGGCGCGGGCTGTGCCCGGCGGTGCCGCTGTCCCCCGGGAAGGCCTTGCCACCACCTGACGGGAGCCTGCGGATGTCCCCCGGGATTCACCGGCCTCGGCTGCGACAAGAGTGAGTTTGTAAGATGTGGTTTCTGTGCTGAAAAGAGAGAGAAAGGACAGCAACACACAAGGACCTCTTTGGGGAAAAAAGGCCAACTTTATTGTACGGACAACCAGTATTTAAAGTGTGTTACGTGCAGCTGGGACAAGACAGTAGTTCATTGGACAATTGGGAAAAACATCCTTGGGACAGCACCTCAGGATGTATCCCACGGGAAAGACACCAGGTGTTAATCTTTATGATGAATTCCACTCTGTTTGTCACCATGTTATCACCCTGGGAGACTCCTCCCTAACTGAAGCTGCAGTCAGCTTGTCAGCCTTGGAATGGAGCTGAGAGTCAGGAGAAATCCAGGCCTGAAAAGAATTTCTAAGCTGTAATTCCCCAGCTCTCTAAATGTGTGTGTCCACAGTAACACAGCACAAATACTTCCCTTGTCGATTAACTAATACATTGATTTATTGAATCAAAACGTGGTGATGTGTTGCCTGAAGAGGGGAGAGATGATAACCTGATGGGAGGGACGATGGCCAAGGGCTGCTTGTCCCTTGCCCAAGTGGCTTGGCCAGTTCTGAGCTCTGTGCCAGCGCAGGTTGGGCTGCTGGGGTTTGCCCTTTCTGTTTGCAGCTGTTCGACTGGCAGGGAGCTGAACTGGACCCAAACAGGCTGAGGATGTGCCAGTGGAGCCCAGCCCTGTGCTGTGCTGTCAGTAAAGCAGCAGCTCAGCTATGGTTGTCTCTGTGCAAGGCTTTCTATTCTTGCTCTCAGAGCTCATGGAAAGGACATTTTCCGGCTTTTTTTAGCATGGAGTTTGGTCCTCCAAAGGTCTTTGGAAGCAGGCTCCTGCTCTGACCCCAGCTGCAACACTCTGATTTTGTTCCGCCCTACAAAACTGCCTGATCCCTACTTTAGCCAAGGGAGAACCAGCAATAAATAAGAATTGAAAGGACTGACATCAGTGTCCCATATCCTCCACAGAGGACCAGGGCACAACCAGGGCAGCTTAATGGAAATGAGATGTAAGAATTAAATGTGGAAGGTCCAAAACCTGTAGGCAATGTGGCTGTCAGGAGGCAGAATGAAACCTGTAGAGATGTTGATGTTGCAGCAGCTTTGCAAGTTTAAACTCTCTGCAAAAGGTAGAATGTCTTTATCCATATGTCTAGTCCCTTGGGAATTATAGTGTTATTTTAGTCAATTTTACCTGACATTTCCCTATGATTTTTTTTTCTAGTGACAAGAAAATTGTATCTGGCCCTTGACAGTTGGGCACAAATTGACTGAACAAAACAAAATCAAGCAGTCAAGTAACCCCCAAGTAAATGTAATAAATCCAATGTCCCGCAGGAGAGCGTCATTCCGTAGGCAGGGATTTTATTTAATAAATCTCAGCCTGCTCTTTGTTTGAGGGCTATATTTACCAAGACAAATTTAATTTATTGGTTTGCATTTCTTCTTCCCAAAGCTTGTCCACCAGGCACGTATGGGCAGGACTGTCAAGGAGTGTGCCAGTGCTCTGCTGAGAATCAGGAATGTCACCCTGTCACCGGCCACTGCTCCTGCAGCCCGGGCTACCATGGGGCCCACTGCCACCTCCGTGAGTATTTTTGGGGGTTGTTGCCTTTCTGACAGAGAACTGAGTCTTACAGGAGCATCTGCTGGTGCTTTGGGTTAATCTGTGTCAGTGCAGCGGTGACTGAGAGAAGTAGAGGTTAATTTAAAAAGTTATAGTATTAAAATAAGTTACAGTATAGGAAGTAAGCATAGGGTGGGTTAATTTACACTAAAAAAAGTTGTTGTATTATTGCAAGGAAATAATTTTTAAAACAATTTTCTAAAAAAAAAATCATTAATAATGTTAGTTCAAAAATGTAACTAATTCAATCCTTCAAATTAATTTTTTAAACCACCAGATTTACCAGCTAAATTCTTTCCAATATCATGCCATGCTAAAGAATGTAAAGATCATTTTCTGCATTGCATTTCTCAGCTACACCTGGATACTGTGCAGCTCTCTCATTTCTAAATACCAAGTCCAAAATACTTCCCGAAATCTCTGCATGCTCAAGTAAGGACAAATGGTTATGAGAAAACAACAAGCTGAAATTGGCAATAAATCCAAGTGATTCATAAAGTCCTTTCAGTTGCAGAGCCTTCTGAGGAACAATCAAATTAAACCAACTGTTACTCTGGATTGAAAAATGGTGACTAGTGTAGAGGACAAAATGCCAACTGGCCTGATGCTCCATCATAAAAAATATTCCCAGATCCACATGGCTCATGCCGGTATTTTAGGACATCTGTAAAGTTGTTTCTGGTGGAATGTGGCAACTGATAAGAAACATATACCAAAGCAGCCAATAAAGGAGACAGTTAATTACCTTTTTATTTACAACTTTAATTTTGGTTTTGCTCCATGGCTTGTAATAGTCTCATTTAGAGGAGAAAAAAAGGGAAAAAAAAACCCAAAAAAGCTGTTGTCTTTCTTGCTCAGTTTTTTTTCTCTTTGGCAAGTGCTGATTTCCCTTTCTTGGGAATCCAGCACAGCTCTCTGTGTGTCTTAATTGCTTTTTGGGATGACAATTTGGATACAAAAGCCAGCTGTGACATGTGCAGCTCTAGTAAGGGTTAAACCAGTTTTATTCCTTGAACAGAAATAGGAGAAAGACTCACTTTGAAGATGGGCCTTTGTATTGCCATCACGTCATCACAAGTTATTCTTTAAAATATAAATTATAAATAAAATACAAAGGATTGATTCTGTCCTTTGTGCATCAGTTTTTGCTGTAAGTGAGATCGAAATCTGGCCTTCAGCACTGGGGCTGGAGCCATCTGGATCCATTATACATTAGATTATAATAAATGTTATAGTAGAGCAGTAGTGAAGATCAACTATTTAACAGGATCATTTTAAAAGACTTAATCATGGTCAGCCTATTACCTTTATGTAACAATTTCTCAGTAGTCATTACCTGTGTGTGTAGCACTAAATCTCTCATTACAGTAAATGTCCTCAAACTTACTTAGATACTTCAGGTTTTATTTCAGAATTTTGAAATTTAAAGCATTAACAATTACACCGAAGTTCTGATAGAAAAGATATAAAAATATTAATTGCAAAATAAAATCCATGTTATGCTGCGTTCAGGGGAGATTTTTGCCATGGATTTCTGTGTAGCTGGGATTAAACCTAAAGAGTATGAGATTTGAGTTTTCATGGTATTTTGTACTCTGAGATTCCAAAAATATACAGCAAATTCTTAAACACAGGTTTGTTAGATGTTTATTGGAGAAATAATGAAATTATGGAAATGACAGAAAAATAGTCATCTATGGTTGTGTTGTTCCTATTGTCCCCTGGGCCACTTGTAGACAGACACACAGAAAAAGAAGGAAAACAGTTAATTGTGAGTTATTTGAAGTTTAGGTTAGTGGAGGAAGAGATTCTGGGCCTGATTCTGCAGAGGCTGACTGAAAAGCAAGGATGGTTTGCGTGACTTTGGTGGGAATACTCCAAGTTCCTGCTGTCCTCACTGCAGGGAAAGCTGGGGCTGCTCCAGGGTGAAGAAGCTCTCGATAGAATATTAAAACCAGCACAGGGAGCCGCTCCCAAACGGGCTCTGGTCCAGTCAACATGTGGTTAGATGCTGCTGGAAACAGTTTCTGGCAACTGCTGCTGTATTTATAGTACAGTGAAAAAAAAGTTCAAGAAAGTATCTATAAAAGGTGTAGTTGGCTGGGAAGTCAAATTTCCAGGAGCCAAGAGCAATGGGGCTTTCATGTTCTCAAATTTTGGAGTGAGGAGCTGAAAAAGTCTCTTGGCAGGGTCCAGAGGAAGCAGACAAAACTTGCAGTAAGGTTCCCATCACTTGTCCATAACTTGGTGGATGGGCAGATCTACTTGTTAGAAGGAGTAAAAAGCAGTAAGTGGTGGTGAAATGATTTTTTTTAAAGAAAGCATGGCATGTTTCTGTGACATTGACTGGTCTGGGAGCACCCAGAGCCAGAAAGATCTCACCAGCTTCACTTTCAAGCTGTAGGTGACAGGATGTGTCAGAAGGGATTATTTGACAATGCGATTTAATAGCATTGGTCAGAAATGCCTCAGTGTGTGCAATTGCTATGGAAAGATTTAGGAACTCTTGGTCATGACAAACCCACTCAAAGCAGAAGGAAAATCAGGAAATGAGGTGGAAATCTGGCTGCCACTCTTTTGTTCACAGAAAAAGCCATCAGTCAGAAGCACAGGAAACTGTTAAATTAGAAAATGTCTTTATGAGATAACTGGTGGTGCAAGAATAACACCAGCCCTCTTTTGCAAAGGCAGAGCCTACTGAAATGGCAGGACATGGTGCAAATTGCCCTCGTTATCTGCATCAAAATTCTTCTGTAAAGTACTAACAGATGAGGTGGCCTTGTTATTGAGCATGTGCACATTGTAGCAGCTGAACATGCTCTGTGTGTGCTGCTCCTTCTCAAACCAAAATACAAGAAATTCTACAAGGACAAAGAATTTGGTAAGAAGTGAATTACTGCATCCTGTTCAATAGTGGAGCAACTACTGCTAGCCTTGAGCTAAGGAATAGCTCTTAAGGATGTGCAGCATCTTTTGGAGTCTGGGAGACAGAATTTTTTAAAAAAAGGAGAAAATCCAAATGATGACCAAAAGGAAAAGAAGGAGGAAAAGAGAAACTCACATGAATTAATTAAATCACTGAATCTGGATGAGTCCTTAACTTCAAGTCTTGGTGGGAATGCAGGGGGTGTTGCAGGGTTCATTCCTTGATGCCAGGGCTTGCACGTGAAACAGATTTTGCATCCTGGCAGATGGAAGCACTGATGACAGAACATTCATTGAGAAGAGTCTGTGTTTAAGAAGGGCTGGGGAGAGTATCTGTGTTATAAAAGTGTGTATCTGTTTAGTCCTGATGATCTGCTATTCTGGTTTGAGCAGAAGCCAATGTTCAGTTTTATTTTAAAAGGCACCCCTTCAAACCTTCCCTATAAGCTCTCCTTCACTATTGAATAGTTCAGAAAAGCCAGAGATTTCTCCAGCCACTCAGGCCATGCTTTCATGCCTTTAGAAAAGACAAAATACGTGAAGTTATTTATGCACAGATTGCAAGGGATCTGTTGCTTGGAGACGTGAGCAACTATATTTTCAACCAGGTTTCTAAAGTAGCCACAGACTTTCTTTCTGCCAGGGAAGAGAAGGAAGGGGAGAGCAAAGAAATGACATTTAGAGGTATTAGCACAAGTGGAACTGTTGGATAATGACCATGCTGCTCAAGCACCAGCTACTCATTCTCCCATTTTACTGGAAAATTAGGAGGATAACCTGCATCTCCATAGTTCAGAGGTGGCACACTGGAGATTCACTGGTGCCTGTGCCCAGAAGCTTTGCCCAGCTCTTCCCCTCAGTTCCAACCTCCGTCTCTGAAGATCATCCCAAAGACGAAAACTAAGCATGGCAAATGCATTTACATCTTCCTGATCTTTTGTTCAATTCTCCTTGAACATTAGCTGTCCAAAAAGAAACCAGAAATCCTCACTACCACCTGGAAAACCTCTCCATAGGCAGTTTTTTGCCATGTAACACTGGCTCAGCAATCCATCCAGGTGTAATGATTCTTGTGGTTCTTACAAAATACAGCTTTTTTTTTTTTTCTCAGAGAATTTTCTGGCTTTGCATTTAAATAATGTTTCTCCTGTATCTATTTTCTGGGAAGGTGTCTTTTGAAATTCTGTGTTGCTGTCATGTGTACATTTTCATGGTCTTCCATCCACAGGGTTGGAAGGGAACTTAAAGCCCATCCAGTTCCAGCCCCTTCCACTGTTCCAGGGTGCTCCAAGCCTCATCCAACCTGGCTTTGGACACTTACAGGGATGGGGAATCTGCAGCCTCTCAGGGCAACCACTAACAATGCCAGCTCCAGTTTGCAGGGAAGGAGTAAATTACAGAGGAAACCAACTTTCTCCAACTTTCAGATTTTTAGAAGATGTGACCTACCCCATATTCATAAAAGTTGCTAAAAGAGGCAGAAATAGCTCACAGCTTCTTGCTGACTTGGGCAAACCAGGTGGCTGCTGCCCAAAGGAAGAGGGAGAATGACCCCATCTCTCCGTCTGTGTAGGAGGGAAAGAGGGAATACATTCATCTGGAATAGAAATACCAAGAGGAAAACTTCTGTGGAACATGGCTTGCTTTTCTTGCTACTGTCACATGAGGGGAATGGGAGAGCACAGAGTGAGGAGCAGCAGCACTCAGTCCAGCTCTCCAGGATTTGACATTACAGTCAGTGCTGTCCCATTGTCCAAAGCAGCCATCTGCTCCTCAATGCCTACTACTGGCCCTCTGAAAGTGGATAACATTAGAAAATTAAAATAAAACTTTAACTGAAAGCAACAAAGTACTTAAGACATGAAATGCAACAAGCCCAGTAGCAACCTAACCTAATTCCTGGGTATTTTTTCTTTTAAAACAGGGTGTCCAAAAGGTACCTACGGTTCAAACTGCCAAAATCCCTGTAAATGCATGAACGGAGGCCACTGTGACCCCGTGACAGGAACGTGTGATTGCGCTCCCGGTTTCATCGGAGCCAACTGCAGCAAAAGTAAGCCAACATTCATGTTCTGCTTCTGTCAAAACACAGCAGAGAGCATCATTTGCATAAGAGCTTGTCAGAAGAAAAACAGACAGATCCCAGCTACCTCTTCCTTGAATTGTAAATCAGGATTCCAGCTTTGTAAAAAATCTCTTGCAAAATATTTTCCCTCGCTTCTACATGCATAGAAGCAAGGGCACTTACCCCAGGATTGCAACCTGCTTGCCCAAATTTATTTCTAGAGCCAGCTCAGCGTGAATTGCTCAAGTTCCTTCTTCCTGTCCAAAATTTGGAGGTTGAGAAATTATCTCAATATTTTGCTTCACACTATGGTGCCATTAGTTTCAATAAATAGGAAGAATATCAAGTTTTGCCATGGCAAAACTGGTAAAGACTCCATGGCAACTCTACTGTTACTTCTCTGTTTCAGAGCTAAATGGTGTAGCTGAATTTCTGTGCTGCTTCAAAAGCTCTGGACTCTGTGAAGTTCTCTTCAGCTTATTCACAGAAAAGCAATGTTTGAATGTTTCGTTGCCTATAGCTTTGCTCTTTGGTGTTAGGCAGCATCAATATTAAGGAAGGAAAGATGTTTTAAGATAGAAGGATGAGCAGCTGATATTTCAGTTGTATATTCACTCTTCTGATAGGAAAGACAGTAAATATTCCATGTGAAATCATAATCACAAGTAGTCTCAGAAGGTAAAGCAGTCATTTCTTTGGGTGGGTTTTGGCTTCATAGTTGATGCTTTGAAGTGCATTAGGTGGAATAAAAGCAAAATCAGCTCTTCCCCTAAGATTGTGGCTAAGTTAAAAATGAAAACGGCTGGGTGTTTAACAAATCCTGTGTTCCCTTCAGGTTGCCCCGAGAGCCGGTATGGGAAGGACTGTGCCCAGGTCTGTGCCTGTGGCAAAGGCCAGTGTGATCCACGGACTGGCGAGTGCACCTGTGCCCCTGGCCACACAGGACCTGCCTGTCAGCAAGGTAACAAAGCAGAACCCAGGTCACCTCACCAGAGGGTGACACACTTCAAATACCCAGCAAATAAACTCAGTGCCAAACATTGTTCATAGCCACGTTCCCCAGGGCCTTTGATGATAAGGCTGCAGTTTGGGGTGCTCAGCCTCTGTCTCTCCACGCTCCATCACCCAGCCTAATCCTGCCCACACCTCCCTGCCACCCTCCTGCCAGGGCACTGGCTTCTCCAGGAAGCTGAGGGGATATGTCAGGACAGAGTGTTTGGGTGAAACTGATAATAATCATAGAGTAGTATCCCACCACCCTAGGGAGACCCTAATTACTTGGGACACATATGGGGATCATGTGTTTGTATTTATTCCCTGTCACCTTCATCCTTTTCTTGGGGTGCTAATTTTTGGGTTTTTTCAAACTTTGTTAATTCTCTGTAGTGTGTCCCCAGGGACAATATGGCCCCAACTGCCATCTGACATGTACCTGTCAGAATGGTGGCATCTGTGACCACGTGGATGGCAACTGCACGTGTGGGCTCGGCTGGACAGGAAGATCCTGTGAGAAAGGTGATTTCCTGCTTCGATGGCAGTGCATTTGTACTCTCAAGCTGGTGTTTGCAGTGTCCCCACACACCCACAGACAAACAGTTTCAGAGCTGTCCCTAGTTAGAGCTTCAGATCTTTTTTCAAAGACAATTTCCTCCTGAGTCTTGCTCATGAATTCCCTGATTTCTTCTTCACTCCGTTATTTCTTCTCCTGTCCAACTTTTGTGTTCTTTTGTTCATAGGAATGTTGGGTTTTTTCTTCTTCCATGTGATCCTCAGAAGCCTGTCTTCCTTCTCACTGGTTATGTTCTTCTCTTTCATTTGCCTCTGGACTGGAGTTGAACTTCCCAAGTATTGACTTCCCAGGTGTTCTGACAACATCTGTCCAAAGCAATTGAGATTGTTCTGCTCTCTCACCCTTACTTCTCCATGATAGCTGTCCCTTGTGCAAGACAAAGCACACTAACAGAATAAGCTCATATCTTAGTCCAGAATCTCTCCTGTCAGCCCAGTCTTCCCACAACTGTCCTGTCCATCTCCCAAAAACCATTCTGCATTTCTGTGTTCCTATTTTTCTCTGTAGGTAAGAGATATCTGTATAGTTATGAGTTAAATGTTCGGGAAACTACAAGTTTACTCGTATGAAATACAAGTAAATAGTTCTGAATACACATTCAAGGCAAATGTCATCATTTAATCATAACTGCCATGGTTTAAGCTCCCCAACACCCTCCCAGGCTCTTATTTACAGCACTTCTGTCCCCGACACCTGTAGAATATTCACTTCAAACTCCATATATATCTATACCAAGAACTGTTTGTTACAGGGGAGTGTCCCTATATAAAAGTGTCATATAGAAAGGACACTTTTTAGCAGCATTCTGAGCTGCAGTTGTTTCATTCTGCATCTGAGGAGCCTCAGAGCCCCACCGTGCATCTGTGTGCAGAGGAGGAGCAGGGAGGAAATGGAAGATGCAGCTACTCACAGTGTGAATCCCATGAGGATTCAGTGGCAGTGAATGTTCTCTGTAGATAGGCTGTAAAACATTTGCAGTGAACCAATATCTGGGTGACATAGCAAAGGCCACCTGTGTTCATCTCCATTTAGCTGTTCCTGGAGAGCTCTGTAGTCACCCACAGGCTGCTTTGGGGCTGCCTCAGCAGGGTGGTGCAGGTGTCCCCACATGGAGCAGTGGCTTGTGGGTGTATCTCACAGATAAAACATCTCTGGAGTGGAGCACAGGGGGCAGACATGCACACATTGTATAAGGGACTGTGTGTTGTATCATTAGAGAGAACTTCACTATTTGTCTTTTGATGGAGTGAAATTATTGGAAAATTGAGTCTTGATCTCCACAGCAGTGTGGGTTTGAGTGTGTTGTGACTGGAAATCAAAGACAGCTAATCAGGCATCCTTTTAATAGAGATTAGATATGATGTTCCTGGAAGATCCTGTCTGGCATTTGCCGAGTTCTCAATCTGATTATTTGGACGGCCACGCTCGTTTAAGTTCGTCTGCCCAGATTCAAATTATCCCAGCAGTGGGAAGTTAACTTATTCAGAGATGATGCTGAGGTTAATTATATTGGCACAGTCCCTTCTGCATGACTTGGCTTTCAGTAATTTGAGACGTGTTTAGTTCTGTAAAAGCAGATAGCTCATTATACATGGACAGACTGTTGCTATGTGTGAAAAAGATCCTCCTAGTTTTATTAGGAATTCAAATAGTGTGAACTCCAATGATAACACAGAGGAGGAAAAGCTTCATGTTTTCTTTCACACTTTTTAAGTGCCTAAAAGAAAATATTGCTGTAGATAAAGAAAAAAAAAA